CACACGAAATAACGAAAGCGCGCCTTGCAACGGTAGCGCGTTACGCATTACTACCATTCGCTGCCTGCAGCACCATCGCTATAGGAACAGGACGTCGGTCGAGTAGAACATCTTTTTACTTCTCGAGACGCCTTAAAGAGTTACTTTTCGCCGAGGCACGAGTGGTTTCTCGACGCTATAAATTTCCTCCTCCTTTTTTCCTTGCATCCCTCGCGAGAATGTCACGCTCCGGCGTCCTCGTGCGCGTCGATTGCATCTTGGCCTGTAACGACACGACTAAGTATCTATTTAATAAGCAATACACCTAAATTACTGTGGTGATTTTTGAATATCAAGATCTTTGAAAACCTAATCTTTCGAATGAAAAATTTCCACTGAAAGATACAGAGAGGGTCCAATTAATATATTATTGCCGTAGGATGTAACGCGACAGTTGATTTCGCGCATCTTAACGCGGCTCGATTAGAATTATTCCATCGCTCATCTTTCCACACTTTGGGTTTCGAAACGACACAATATGTAGAGAGAATCGACGCCACGGCGCAGAGACTCGTTCCAATGTGTCCATCACGGTTTAATCGGTCTCGGTCAGTGTCAGCCCTCAGTCAACGTCCTACAGATTTTTTGTGATGGCCCTGATATCGGTTCTGGGGGTCGATGGGTCAATCCTTATTGATGCAGGGACGTGACATTCTTGATCGCGGGACCACACGCGAATCCGGCACCGGCTATGACTCACCCTGTATATCTCGCTTCAGTAAAGAAGACATTAAATGAAATATTGCTATCACGGAACGCGCACCGCGAGATAGACCGTTAGAAAAACGCCCTGCTATTTAAAGACCCCGAGAGGACTGAACCTCATCCTGGGACCTCGGGCCAATAATCAAGGGGCTTTGCCCTCTAATTCTATCGGAGCCAACCAATCATAAACACCGAATTGTCGAGTTTAACTACCCGCGAGCTTAAGGGCCCGACCCGAAACATTGATCTCGGGGATCGGTATTTCAACTGACACATAAGCTCGAGTTTGGCCACACTTTGAGTCGTCACGTTCAACCGGATCGTTCCTACTCAACCAGAGGATAAGGTGTAAATATAACATAAACGTCCCCCTACAGTTTGACTGAAATATTAATCCTACCCTCTGCTTCAGAATTTACAGCGCATAATTTAACCCTCTCTCAAGATACGGCATAAATCGATAACGAATTCCTTGAGCGAATAGAAAATATTTTTAGATACGATTCAAATTTTTTTCACGATGTTTCACGAATTGAACGACACCCTTTAAGAGTTTCGATAATATGCTAGCCGAAAAGGGTCAAGATGCACTTTCTTGCGGACCGTCACTTAAACGCACGAGAGAAGGTATCGATAGATGCGATCGAGAACCAATTTATAATCTCCCCCCCTCCGTTGGAGGAGATACCTTTGTTTCGACTTTATTAACATAAAGTGACATCCTAGGGGAATGCCTGTGTAAAACCGAGAAAACTGACGTTCTTCGGCGCGTTTAGCGGCGCTGCTCGCTAGATTGGAATCGGAAGGGCGCTTCTTCGGGGCCACTCATATGCAAATGTCGCAGGAGATCCGTTCTCAAAAGGCACCGACGCAGGACCGTGGAAAAAACCTGAACGGAGGCAATTCAAGTTGTATTCACGAAACGTGAACACAGACCCCAGGGACGGTTGTTCCTGTTCGACTCGGTTCTACGGAATAAATTTGCTTCTTTGCCCTCTGGAGCAGTGTCTAGCAAGCATTCCTTTAATGGGTTCGACATCAATCAACCAGTGCGAGGAAACCTAATCAGTCTCACAACTTGTTGTAAGACTGATCTCAGGACTTCAGGTGCAATCTCAGTCCAGGTTAATTGTAAAAATTAATGAAACGCATCTAAATGTTCAAGGACACCGGCAGATAAATTGACTCTTAGATACGTACACACCGTTGTAAGGAGCGACTCACTGTTGGACAATTTACTTCGTTACCACGGAATTTATTCTTGAATCTAGTGAAGTAGAAAATGGGATATGCTCGTATAAACGTTCGATACGAAATATATAGGAAATAATAATTTAATGGCCGGAAGATTTATGTACGTCCGCCGACGAGACGACGCCTTTTCCGAATGGGCCTCATTCGCTTGGATGCGTTCCACGTGGAAGCAGTTCCTCGGATAATTGGAACTGGCCGTAGATGATTTCCGTTGCATTAATTGGCCACCGCAAAGTAATCGATACATCTATAAAGCTGATTCGCCGGCAATAAGTAAAAAGATCATCGAGAAACGCGTATGCAGGATCGAGCTTAGGCGAATATAACGCACCGTACACATTCCAGAAACACCGTACAATTATACGCACGACGGAATGTCGGAACTTACAGCCACCTAGGCGTTTTCAAAACACGAGATTCCAAGGGATTCGGAAAAATCCGCATATGAGGTAAACCCACGCACCAATTACTCCGATCATCGGTGTATAAACTGAGACCGCGGATGATGATCGCGCGAATTATGCGAATTAGGTCCGGATAAAAATGCAATGCACTGAAAAGAGTCAAGCAGGTTCCGGGGGAGAGTCGTTGTTAACTTCCGACTAAAGGGAGCAGACGAGAACCGGTAAGACCGTAAACTGGAATATGTCGTGTGGCTTGTACTTTTGGTCCAGCTGTTAGCCGCGTATCGCTTTCTACACGATCTGCCAATAACACTGAATTCTACTTCCTGCTGGCTGTAACAGGATTTATTCTTCTTCTTGACATGTTGCAATTTCTGCATTGATTGCCGCTTTCAACCGTGTCAACGTCCTGGGTGGTTACATAGGAATGCTGCTGAACACTGTCAAGGATCTTCAACTTTTCCCTTTTCAGCTTGGGCAAAACCGTGAAGATGCGTTTTCTAAACGGGAACAAACTTTGCTTGAATGACAATTCAACCGTAAACATTTCGATTCTACTTCCGTAAAGAAGATTCTATTTTGGTAGAGAAGTTTATTTATCGATACGAGGCTAGGAGGCCATCTGCAAACAGGGGGGAATTACATTTAATTTCCAAAGAACAGTTATGCAAATTCCCACTTCTGATCCGGAAGATTTAAGGTGGAGTCGATCGACACGAGAGGTAATCCCGTGATAATTCCAAGCATTCCATCCAAGGATGATCGTGAACGATTATGTGGGTCTTGCGGGTACGTTCCGGCGAAGGCTATACGAAAAATCCTGCAGCGATAATAAAGTGACGCGTAATTGCCAAACGAGTTCTCCGAGTGGCCAAATGGGATAACGTCTGGTTTCCTGTCTTTTGCTTCGGCGAAATGAGCCTTTAATAATTAATGAGCAATATACCTGCTGCAAAGTAGAGCCCCGAGGAACAAGGCGCTGCAGCTGCGTGAGGAGGCGCGCAGAGGCGTATAATTATTATCGATATCGGTGTCTCTGAGACCTTTTCTAATGTCGGTTGATAAGTTGATATTCACGTACGATGGGGCATTTCCAGGACTGGGATGGCATTAATGGATGTGCCGATCTGCTGATTATTTTCGACACATCCTATCGTTAGATGTAATTAAACTTCTCAACCGAGGACAGCCGATCTATCTTGCGGACACTTCGTCCATAACCACTCTTTAAAATATATTCAATCGGCACAGTAGAATGCAAAAAGCAACCGCACCGCTTCCGGTTACCTTCCGAGATTTATCGCAGCGTTAAATATCTGTGCTCATAGCATTAATTCTCAAGTTCCTCTTTTGCATTTAATCGGGCCTGGAACCTGTAATACAGTCGCATTAATTCTAGTATAAATGGGCGAATATCGCTTTAACGATCACGAGGACTGACTTTGTGCGCCTTTTTTGTTCTATATTTACTACTAGCTGTCCGAAGAGAAAGTGCGTAGGACGACACCAATTAGTAGTTTCATTTATGCTCCCATTCCCGCCATGGGTGGAATTCAAATTAATCCGTCCCACGTTGCTAAGGTTAGGAGCTAAGACGAAAGGCTACGCCGACTATCTGAGCTTTCAATTGGTCCGACCTTACCATTTCTCCCGAGACGGCGAATTCCGACATTTTGACATTTTCTCACGAAGATGATGTAATTGTTCTTAAAGTAACTTATGCAAACGAGTCGGAGCAACGATCTCGGCTTCGCGCCGACTTGCTTCCGAGTTGATGATACCTTCTAATTATACATTTTTGCCTTGTCTTACAATTCCCACTTGACTTCATTTTTACGCATTAGAGATTTTTATCATTCTTTTGTCATAGTAAGTAATATAAAATATAAATATTTATATTCGTTAAATATTCAAAGAAGAGACGTTAAGGACTTCCCACTGAGCGCGTTGGTTGTCACAGAGAACGCGAGGCGGCAATGCGTCTAGCATGAACAACCAATGGAAACTGCGCTACATTTCGACATCATTTCCGTCACAATTTCAATTCGTTTTTCATTCTTGATGCGTCCACGCGCCGCGCTGTGTGTGACACCCAACGCGTTCAATGGGACTCCAGTGAAAGTTCTCAGTGCGTCGCGTCACAAAGAATGCACTCTGTAGGACACCCAATACGTTTAGTGGGATTCCGACTTATTCGATTCATCGTTCATCCAACCAAAGGTAAAGAAGTGATATCACCACCTATTATCATCAGCTGATAAAATTGAAATTCTTCGTTACAGATTTTGATGCAACTTGTAACTTCATAACTGATATTTTGAGTGATACATTTTTCGCGTAAGAAAATATTAAACATGCTCTTTTTCTTGAAATTGTGTATACATCGGCAACTGTCGAGTCTCTTCAGACCATGCGACTTAGTTCATTATTTCTGGTGCTCTTTTTAGGTGGCGCTGCAGTCAAGTGCAACTGTCACCGTGAGCAAGATAAAGAACTAATGCAGTCCCCCATATTTTGCCATAAGATTAAGAGAGACGGAGAGACGATTACAGCGCCGCCGTCCGTTTGCTAATATACTATTTGTTAAGGATCAAATGTCCTTATCCTTCTGGACTTCTATGGAGACTTCTAAATTCTTTGCCCGTCAGATGCCTGATTTTTTTAAGGTTCATTCAGGTTCATTAGTGTACTAAACATTTTGACTTTTCTTTGAGCAATCAATACAAAATGTGAAAATGTCGTTGTATGACGATTTTGACAAACACCGGACAAACGAGAAGGTCGCAGGATGGTCTTCCGGAATAAAATTGCTGCAATCGCAGTTGCAGTTAAAGAAAGCCGCGACTACGCAAGTAAGTTTCATTTCACAAGTCTAATATAGGTTAACAAATGATGTGCTTGACTGTGTTACATAGAAATAGAATGAAATATATGCGCAACATTCGACATGATGTTTTAGCCCAAGCGAGAGCAATACAGAAAGGCGGCAGCGATTTTGGCTCCTGTAATTGACTTAAAATCCAAATCTTTACGGGATGGGGAGAAAGAGGACGATGGTCTCATCGGTAACATTCTTAGTTCGACTGGTAGCAATAACAGTACTATCAGTGGAGAATTTGACTGGAATGTCATTAATGAGTATGATCCAATGTGGCCAAATGAATATGAGAAAGTCGTGAAAGAATTAAGAGATATTCGAGATAGAGAACACGATCAGGAATCTGAATTGCGCAAACGTAGACGAGACAACCCACGTTTTGAAGATGTACAGGTGCTGCGGAAGAGATACTACTGTTATAGTCTTGTCTTTTTATACCGTTCTTTTACTGATGAATGAATTGTATAAATAAAAGCTTATACTTTATAGTCTACTTCCACGGTTGTTTCGATACCTGTGGAAAGAGAGGAGGAACGTCCACCTGTAGCTAGGATTGCTCCGGGTGGAGCAGCGATAGCACCACCTCCATCTTTACAAGAACCTGCAGAAGTTCCTTCAACTACGGCTCGAATGCACTCTTCCAATCTTGGTTATACGACATCTTCCGTTGCTGCTAAAATAATGGCAAAGTATGGGTTTAAGGAAGGCCAAGGACTTGGGAAAAAAGAGCAAGGTATGTCAGTTGCATTGCAAGTGGAGAAAACTAGTAAACGAGGAGGTAGAATCGTCGGAGAAAGAGAACAACTTATGCCTCCACCATTAACATCGACAACGTCGTCATCACCACCACCTGCACAATCAGCTACTCAGTCGCAACAGCAACAGCCTCAAGAGGAGCCAAGTATTACTGAAATTATGAAATCACCTAGCAAGGTAAGTTAATTTTTATACTGTAGTGTATCAAATGTACCAAAGGAACTCTTGTCCTTTATTACAGTTGTACATTTTATTAAATTTGATTCAAGGTGGTATTACTGCGAAATATGGTTGGTCCTGGAGAAGTAGACGATGATCTTGAACCAGAAGTTAAGGATGAATGCAATACAAAGTATGGTGATGTGGGACGAGTTATAATTCATGAAGTGATCGACGCACCACCTGAGGAAGCTGTTCGAATTTTTGTTGAATTCAAAAGAATAGAAAGTGCCATTAAAGCAGTTGTAGATTTGAATGGGCGATTTTTTGGTGGTAGGCAAGTGAAGGCTGGGTTTTACTCTAGCGAGAAATTAGACAATTTCCAATTAATGGATTAATCATAGAAATAAACCATTTATATTAATTTTTATCCCAGCAAATATCACTTAATACACAAAATGAGCGACATACGCGTCATTCCTCATAATTTAAAGGAAAAAAATATTTCCATAATTATATTTATCCTACAAGGTTCGTCTCGTTTATTTCAAACAATTAAACAAAAAATAGCATCTTATCATTTATTGCTTGTTAAAAACTTGAAAATTAGACAAAGCAGCATTTCCACGTTCCATGCTGCATGTTAAGAATTCGTCATTCAATTTATATATTAATGTTAATTTAGTAGTAACATGTACACCTCACAAATAACTGCAACTTTTTGTTTCATAATAATTTTATTTTATTGTCATATCAAAGATATAATTGAAAACTAAATAAATACTTCCTTCGGATTCTTTATACCAGCATCAAGAAGAACCGAATTCGTTCATCCATTTTTCATACTTTTCAAGATCCTCTTGAGATACACTTTTATTGCACTTTTCCACTGCTTCATCGAAATCAGTAGCTGATACCGGTAAATCAAGTTCTTCTTTTGGCAGTTGTCTTATTTGATCTGGTTTAAGACCTGCAATCTTCTTACGCATAGACATCATAGAAGCATCTCTGAAAACATTTTTGTTCCTTTTTATACACGATTCCCAATATCGTGTTCAGGAAATTGTTTTCCTTGGAAATATTTAATGAATAAAATCAATAGTAATTAATAAATCAATTTATAACCTGCAAACGTTTGTAATGTCAGCACCAGAGTAGCCTTCAAGTTTCTTTGCAATATCTGATAGTTTTACAGATGAATCTAGCTTTACTTCCCGGAGGCTAATTTTTAGTAGAGCTTCTCTGCCTTCATCTGCGTATAAATAGTATTTACAAAATTAATAATCCTGACCAATGCTAACTGTAAATTTGAATGACTCACGATTTGGTAATGGAATGTAGATTCGTTTTTCTAATCTTCTTCGAAGAGCTTCATCAATGTCCCAAGGAAAATTTGTAGCAGCCAGCACCATGACAACTTTACTGGGATCGTCACTATAAAAGATGTATAATTTTAATATATACTAATAGTATCATATTTTTTTATAAAAGGGCAATTCTTTATTCATTTTGAAGGCGTGTAATTACTGATGATCCTCACTTGCTTGAGCTAATTCCATCCATTTGAACTAAAAGTTCAGATTTAACTCTTCTCGATGCTTCATGCTCGGACTCTGAACCTCTCCTAGAGCACAAAGAATCTATTTCATCAATAAAAATTGTGCTTGGTGCGTAAAATCTTGCCTGAAAGATAAGAACACCTTTGTGTAAATATTAGTAAAACAATGTTTTCAAATAAAAATGCTTTAGTATTTGTATGAAATTTTATGCATTTCAATACTGTTTAAAATTCTCACCATTTCGAAAAGAAGACGAACCAATTTTTCGGATTCTCCTCTGTATTTGGATGTCAGTGTAGATGATGATACATTGAAAAAAGTTGTACCGCACTCAGTCGCAACAGCTTTGGCAAGCATCGTTTTTCCTGTACCCGGTGGTCCAACCATAAGAACTCCTTTCCAAGGCCTTCGAATTCCCTACATAAAGAGGTACTTGTTAACATCAATTATAAATATAAGTTCTTAATATCATCTATATACTTTGAAAAAATCTGGCATCCACATTGGTAAAACAACAGCTTCTTCTAACAACCGTTTAGCCTCATGTAGATCAGCTATATCATCCCAGTGAATATAAGGGTTTTTTTGAACAATGTCTCTTTCTGTAACAAATAGATTTCAATGCAAATTTCTGTATGCCTTTTACGTTATATACAATAATGTTAATTACAAAAGGCTTGGATCATTTTTTTTTTTTTTTTGATAGTTTGATTAGTTTTTGCACATAAATGAACAGCTCACCTAGTAGGTCCACAAGATCTTTGTCACTGGGAGATGGTTCATATTTGCGTTCCTCGATAGGTGCCTCGCCTTTTTCTGGGGCCTGGAAAGTTAGTAATTTAGTGAATATCAGGGAACAATATATATGAAAAAATCAAGAATTTAGAATAAAAGTGCCATTAACCTTAGAAAAATCATCTTTTTTCAAACTTTTTTTCTCATCCTTTTTAAGAACTGATTTTTCTGTCTTCTTGGAAGGATTGATAGAAGAAACTCGATTATTAGCCCGAGTTTGTTGTTTACGTTGACTCTTCTGCGAAGTAGTATTTCTGAAAGTACATGCCAATTAGGTCAATTTAATAAAAGTGCATCATACTGCTCCAGTTGCAGTAATATGTTTACTTTTAGCTGTCATTATTTTTCTTTTGGTGCTGACCTCTGCTCCGTAGGAGTCAGTGGAAGCCAAACATCAGGATCTCGTGTTGTTGGCAAACTCCAAGCAGTATCTGTACGACTACGGGACCATGAAATGGCATCTCTGGTTGGCTCTTCAAATGACATACATGATGTACCTACAGTGAATATTTACTATAATTTTGTTTCCGTAAACAAAACTTATTGCGTAACAAAACAAAAAAGTAAACATATAGCTTTTTATTTAATGTGACACAAACTGATTTTGTTTTCATGACTGTATCAACTTTGCATTTACAGTGAACCTACCTAATATTCGTTCTCCATGCGAATCTACTTTAAAAAGTTGCAATACATTTGACGTGGCTTTTACTTTCTCAAACTCCTCCACGATTTGTTGTTGAACTAATTGCCATTTTGCTTTACGTGTGACATCTGATATACTTGTAAGTAATTTATGAACCTGTTGAGCTACTCCTTGATAATACACCCCAGAAGCATCATAGTTCCCAGTTAAAGCCATTTCACGAGCAAGTTTTGTATTTTCACATATTTCACTGATGGAAACAGCCATGGTTCTACAATAAAGTGAATAATAAATAACACATTTGATTTATGCGAACCAGAAATAAGAGTTTATTAAATAAAAATACAATATTAGATAAAAATAAAGTACTAGACATTGAACACATTTGAAATATAAGAAACACTACAAATTGCGAATCACAATTAATTCATGCCAAATACACTAGAAGCCTTCTTCAAACTGCACGCAAGTAATCAAATATAATTCAGCATCATTTTACTGAATCTCTTCGTTCAAGTTATAATCGCGTCAAGTCCTTAATTGGGCAAAATCCACACCAGCCTCATAGTGTACGTAAAAGGTTAGATATCTCGAATGATTCTCGTCAACTCCTCATTCTCAATTTGTCTTACAAATTACATTTTAACATCTTCGTCCTCCGTTACGAATAATACTTACTAAGTTTTCACAATCCACTAATAATAAAAGTTTTAATGTTACTCCAAAATTGACAGTTCTATTGACTGTTCGGCCTCTGACATTGCTCCACGCAACTCCAAAGGTCTCAGTCCTCAGTCCGACTGAACACGGCGAGTGTCACACAGATCGCGGTGCGTCAACCAGTTGAGGATCAACCACCAATTAAAACCATTCTTAATTGAACTTAGGCCATATATACTAGACCTCGCATTGGACTTCCCACTCCAAGATTTTTTGTAAGCAGAATGGCTTTAACTGTGTGAGTAAGTTCCCGGCCACGTAATACATTCGTTTACCCCCTTCCCCTGCAAGGCGGTCTACATATATATGATCTAAAATCTGATTGGGTCCGAGTGCCGTCGGCTCACGTGGTATCTGAGTTTACCCCTTCCACTGTTATGTGAGGTCCAGATATTTTATGCCAGGGTTGGTAATTTCACGATTTTCGAGGTTTTTGACGTATATTACCACAGATGAGCATCTCTGATATTACATAAATCAAGTAGTTTACCGTAGAAAACGTAGAAAACCAGCAGAAAACGTATTACCTTTGTCCGTAAAGAGTCGTGACCTGCAGGAATTTTCTCAAAATCTCATAGCAGTCAATAAATTAAGTGTTCCATTGAAGATTTGAAGTGAATTAGTGTATACACTTCTATGAAAAATTAGTTTTACATTATTACACTTGTACAATAGACCACTGGATTGCTTAATTTTCGTAAATAATTAATTATAATACTTTATAAATATTTTATTTTGAATTAAAATGACCGTGGTAGACTTTTTTATTCCTCTAAGGAAAGATGAATTACTAGAATCGCACAGTGGACAATATATTGTGAAAAATTTAGTCCCATTACATGCAATAGGAGAAGCACTTGATGGTAAGATATCGGGTATTTCATGTTTCATGTATTCAATTGTAAAATAAAATAGAATTTAACTGGTACAGATAATCGCGTACACCAAGGGGAATGATAACACTGTTTTTAATAGGAACATTTTTTGGCAGCTACAAGATCTACACTGCAAGAAAATGGAGCAAAATTTATTTTGCAACACTTTGATACCTTTTTTTTCTATACTATTACATAGCGACAAAGCAAAAATTACAAATTACAATTCGGGCCTTTCACAGAATCCTTAAAGGTATTGCAATTTTATTACTTATTTTCTCTGTAAGTTCATAAAGTATCCTTGTTTTGTTATTATATTTTAAATATTGTCTGTACAATTTTTGAATAATTTAATTTACAGCTTCAGAATTATTGATAAAGAATTTGGAAGATGTTTTTCATCATGAAACTAACTTGAATCGTGATAAACAACGGGAGTTATTATGTATCAACAAGATGCTATCATACTTATTATCTTCGTATACTATTTATATCGAAGAACATATTCATGAAGACATGATTTGGCAGAGATAAGTTGGGAAATTGCCATAATGGTAAGCCACCATCGTCAACTGCAGCATGGTATCACGAATCCATCACGAATCCATCACGAAGCCATCACGAACACGTGAGCCGCCAACGGCAACTGGTAGATGGCACAGCCATCGCGAGTGCGCAAGCCCCTACCAGAAATTCGTTGCGCCGCCCTTGGGGGCAAAAAACGGTGAAAGCTAACGTACGAAACCAGAGGGCAGCACACGATGCGATCGCACGACCCTGCCCGTGAGCAATCTCCCAACTCATCTCTGATCTCTGGTCGTAGTTGCCCTTTTCTTAAAGGGCCGCTTCGGCATATAGCCTCTTCGACTCTTGCAGTCTCTTCGGGCAGATCCCCCTACGTCTCAAACGCTTGGCAATCCCTTAATTTTTCGTATTGAAAAAAATCACTCTGCGAGCAGGTCTAAAAGCTAACAAAACGACGACCTACGATCCGAGGATACGCAGTCCGGACGTATTGCACATTTAACCGAATTCTCAAGTGCGGGTGAATTTGAGCGCCCCATCCGCCCAACATGCACCCATGTATCCCATGGGTGCATGGGGCGAATGGGGCGCTTTGAGAGTTCGACCAATCAGAATTCAAGATTCAACTGAACCACGAAAGAATACCCAATCACGAATAAGATCTATAAGAATCGTCCAATTACGTATTCGGCTAGTTAAACAGGTGGTTGATGCACAGGATCGGTAACAGGTGCGATACAATTGGACGGGACGTCACTCTTATATTTACACTTTTTTCTTTGATTATTTTCAAATTATGTTGTTTTCTTGAGTTTTGTTCAAACGAAGATGCAACCGTTAATTTATGATTAAATTGTTATAATATAAGAAACATTAAAGGAGTCTGTAATCGTAGTTTTATCGATTCATACAGGTGACTGACAGTTAAATTTTAATTGTGTTATTATTAAATAACAATAAAGCGGTTTGCACTTGTATTGACAGTTTTTCATAACGAGTTTGTGCTCATCGTAACAGAATGTTGCAGTGAAAATGTGTTTTACCGTGGCATTTGTTGAGTAATAGTAATTTGCATAAAGCGATTATGACAATTTGTTCATCGGTATTTCCTAGGGTACTTTGAAAGAATGAATGAAACTGATCAGAAACGACTACTACAATCGGAGGATAAACGTGTTGGACAAATAGATGATTTAAACAATACACAACAAGATAAGGAGGATCCTGATTGGTGGGCCAGCGACAGTGGGTCTACTTCTGAATCATATTATTCTGATACCGACAGGTAATTAATGTGGTATTAATTACAAAAGCAAGATTAGAAATATTATTGTCATTTATATCTTTATGGTAATGTTTTTATTTTGTTGTGATTTTAGTTCTGTGGTAGAATGGGAATCAGAAATAGGAGCAATGGGAGAAGTGTTTTATATAGAATCATTGGTGGATTGTTTTAACAATGAAGAAAATGTAAAGAAAGATACGTCAAAGTCTCCACCATGTGAATTGACAAGACGACGTAGTACAAGAGCTGGCAAATTAATGCGTCTCATCAGGCGTAGAGAGAGCAAGAGGTATAGCTGTAAAAGGAAGTCACTCAATCTTGCGGCGGAGAATAGTGCCAGTGGCAACAATAAAGAAGGAAATAGTACCAAGGAAGTCACTTTTAGAGATTGTCAGGTACATCAAATGAAGTAATAATGTTAAGTATAATATAATTTATATAACTTTATCTATTTAATATGCATATTTTAGGCTGGAGAAATACGAGATGTTACGCTATGGATTGATACCGATAAAAGGCATAAGTTAGGAAGACGTGCTACTTTGTGTGAAGCATATTTGGGAATTATCCCAGGTGTATTCTCAGATAAAGTTAGAGTAATGGTTGCTGGATTTATTCCTGATGGAGAAGCTATAAAGAATAAAAGTATTAAAATTGGAGATTGGCTTCGCAGTATAAACGCCAGAAATATTACGTTTCAAAATTTGGAACAAACACTTTCAGGAATTTCAGGACTGATAAGTGTAAGACCATTTATATAAGAAATGTATTTAGTATGTTCAAGAGTAAAAATTATTTTCATTTCATTATTAACATAATATATTACGATTTTAGGTAAGACTAGAACTACAAAGAATTGCTGGCATTGATGTTACAGCTAACTTACCAGAAAATAATTTTCCTAAGGTAATCACATTAACCCTTTTGGTATTGATTTAATATGACGGATTTTTTTTAGTAATTCTGCCTTTTTTGCCAAATATATTAATCTTAAGAAAACATTTTGGTAACTCAAATGTATCGAAATAAATAAAATTTCCTTTGATTTTTTCTACACTCATTACAAGAGATTAAGAAATGTTTTAATTACATCGTCGACGAATTTAAGAGGAAACATATTTTTTGTTGTAGCAATCGCCAAGTGTACAACAATTGGTAGACAAAGAAGGAAGTAAACATCTTATGGAATCCTTGTTAAACTATTCACTAGGTGTGATATATTTAAAAACAACGGGATTACCAGAAACGGGACCAGAATTGCAAGGAATGCTTTATACATTTCCTCAATTGGAAAGTAGAAGTGTAAATTCTATACTGTTTCTGAGTAGGGGAGCTTTTATTACACTTGACCACATGTTACCAGGTATAGCAGGACTTCAACCTATCAGGTATAATAATGCACGTTTACAATAAGTTTGAATTTTAATTTAATTATCCAACCTGACATCAAGGAATGGTTCAAATCATCGATGGATGTCCTTTTAATTTTAGCACAACAATACGTGTTTCAAAAGAGGATGTTCATGTTGTGTACACACCTCGAGGCACAGAATTACTTTTAATAGCATTCCCAGATAAATGGTATGTTTCATACAACAAAATCCTTCTTTCATAAACTCACAGTTTCATTATATAGTTGCAGTCTTCAAGAGGCAGTAGAATTGAACGCAGACATCGTACGAGTTTTGGAATTCTGCCATCAAACTCTATCAAAGTGTTTCTCCGAAGAAGAGAACCACTGTTCTCTAGATCATTTTTTTACATTGAATTTTTTCTATTTACTGAGAACAAAGGATCTTACAGTTGACATAGATCTAAATAAAACGTTTCCGGAAGTACAAGACGAAGGAAATAATACAAAGAAGTATGAGTTTGAGAGCATCATGTCAGCTGCGCATCACGTGCGATTACCAAGAGATGCGCAAATACAAATCGATGCAGCATTGAATGAGATGGAAGCAATGGATTACAGAGATTGGGTAAGTCCTCCGTGACTTAAAAAAATCAACGATCAGGAAACTCGGTAGAGTTTCACGCCAAGTATACACTTACATACGTTGTACACGTATGCGCGAAGCCATGTGTATGCGTGAAACGCCACCGAGTCTTTAACGCCAAGTTTGGGTTTGTTAGACCCATAAGAATACATTTTACTGCAATAGATATTCGGGTATACATGTAAACATTTTGCAGAACGAAGATCCAATGGATTGTCAAAGATTATACACGATCCTTGGTAGCTGTCTATATCATAAAAGCTATTTATTGGGCTCTCATTTACCACACGAGGATCTGATAGAGGTGCACTCTTTTCTCCGCCGGAATGGCCTTTTAAGTTTAATTAGCAAAGAACCATTGAAGACCTTAGTGATCTGGAGAAAAGTTTATCCCTTATCATGTGGTCGAGGACATTTAGATGGTGCCAGTAGAGCATTACAGGTGCCAAATGGACAATGGTTTCTACTTGTCGTAGGATATGACCATGAATTACTTGCAGTACTGTTGGAATCTGGAGGGTGTACTGCGAAGTATGTAAATAAAAATACTGCGTTCTGTTCTTTTAAAACTGTGAGAAAGAAAAGTGGTCCTTTAAATTGAATTGATTTCAATATCCTATGATAAAGTTTTAATAAATTGCAGGCTCAAAGAAAACACTGGTCCGGATATTTTTTATGTAGAAGAAGCGCAGGAAACATTGAGACATATTCAGAAAATTGGTGTACCTGCACTAGTTGCAAAATGGCTTTCGGCTAATGCTAGGCCAGAAACGGTGATCCTGGATGACCGTTCGGCTATCAAATCAGCTACCAGTATTACTGAAAATTTACTTGGCCTTATTAAATCATCCGATGCACAAACTTCTTCAGTTAAACCGAATGTTAATTCTACTGTGGGTAAGAAATCTCAAGAAGTTGCTTCAATACTGAAGAAACGTAATCCCGAACAAAGCCCGATAAGATCAAATTCTAGTAAGTTAATAAAATCTAAAAGATTTATTTCTATGACTTTGGCAGTAACAATTTGAATTGACATTTCGTTTAGCATATTCTTTACAAACATCTGAAGACTCAATGAGTCAGGGAACAGGAGCTATCAGTGAAGTCAGTGACGAGGCAGTGCCCATATTGGGAAGACGAGCAACGCGGGAGAAAAATAATGCATTGTCTAGGCACTCTGATGACAGTGATTCTGACGTTGACATATACAGGGTAATTATTTCATAGTTACCATAAAAACATCAGGAACTATGCAGAAGAATATATTCATTTTATATAATTTTTAAAGTTAAATATATTAATTGAAATATATTTATTTTAAAGAATGCATATATATGAGATTTATTCTACAATTTGATTGTTTTTACAGAATGACTGTCAAACGAACACTATGGATATATCTGACATACGTGAGAGTCTCTTGACCCAAGCCGAATACATTATTCCAAAAAAATTAACATCAGGTGAAAATAATTACTTGTTCCATTATGTTCATTTAGACATGCTCGAAGGTGTTCTACTGTCGACGAAAGCATTAAGCAATTCATCAAAAAATGAAAGTATTTTATATAATTTTAATAAATGCGCCCATGTAATCCATAAATTGTTAAACAATAATGTAAGGTTTAAAAAAATGTTGAGCCAAGAAATGGATAAATCGGTAATCAATAAGAGTCTGATTGCAATTAAGGAACATGGTGTCATGTTCGATTGGGAAGATGTTACATATTGGGTAATTGGACGTTTATACACCGTTCCTCATCCTAAAGAATTGTATGTGTGTTATGAAGACATTGCTCCGCAGAACCTAATTGAAATGGCTTTTAGATTAGATTCTATGTGGAATTGAGTAAATAAATATTTATGTATATTATGTAAAATAAGTGGCCTATTATACTTTAATTATATATCATTGAAGTGTATTTTTTGATAATAGTGTAGTATTTTATATCACTTATATTGTTTAAAGAATGATACAAGATGGAAATAGGTTTAAAATAAAATTAACTATAAAAGTAATTAAATTTATGCATGTAAAACTTTCGAAACATGAAATCCTTTTTTTCATTTATTACATTTTAAAGTTATAAGTATCTAATTTTATTTGTATAATACTACTTGCTGTATTTAGAACAAGTAGTAATAATAGTGTAAATATTTCTTTTTTTTTCTCTGTAATGCATGAAAAACTAGATATAGCTATATGTCCAGTGGAATCGATGTTCTTGATCACATTGAAATCCAGTATAGGAGTTAATATCGTTTTATTTAAATGTAGGATATTGTTATAGTGATCTGCTATGTACAATTTAGAGCAGTTTAAAAAGTAAATAATAATAGAAATCAACAAACGACTATCTTTGGAGAGATAGACGAAAATTTCTGTGCCAGTGTAAATGTTAAATTGTATTATCACTATATTATTAATCACATAGAACTTCACAATTCAGGATAAATCGCCAATAATCACATAATCTATTAAATATTAATCACCCTTATTCCAATGTAAAATACTATTTTTGCATTACAATATTAAGAAATATATATATCTTTTTTTTTTTCGCGCGCGTGTGTGTCTGTCAATCAGTCAGTCAGTCAGTCAGTCAGTCAGTCAGTCAGTCAGAGTTATAAATATAATATAATAAATATAATAACTCTTAACGTCAACTATTACTGAAGTAACAGTAATAACTAACAGTTTGCAGTAGTAGTACACTGATTTCAAGTACTCGTGGGCATCAAATCTCATTGTACGAGATTTAACGTTTCAGTCGTTGCGCCCAAGTTCTTTAACCTGGTTAAAAGATTACATTTCAATTTGAATCAAAGTATTTAATATAAACAGTGATACGTGCAAAGCCAATTTGTGTAACAATGTTATACTTCGGATAAAATTGCAGAAAATTTAATTTGTTGAGTAACAGAAATGCATGTAAAAAAAATAAATATTTTTTTTAGCAGTGTTTTTCCAGACTTAAATTATGTACAAGCATAAAAAAATAACTTATTTTGTAAAAAAGCAGCAATACAATACCGTTATGTCATATGAGATACAGAGATAAACATGCTTACTTAAATATTATTCGAGCAGCATTAATCGACATCAAGTAATGAATCTTCTGAATCGTCGTTATCACACTTTTGAGATTCTGGTATTTTTACGAGTACACATGCTCCCGCCATTTTACTTCCATAGTGGCCTGCCCAGAACATTCTGTCCATTCCTCCGTGATAAAAACTAACTTTTCTTACGCCAGAGCCATAATTTCTAAACTCGTGTGACATCTGCAACACAGTGTCAGTATGTCAGAGGACAATTGGGTATCAGTGTTGTAATTAACAATTACCTCAATGAAGTATCAAAAAAAAAAGAAAAATAAGTGTGTGGTCACCATGCGCATTGTAAGTGAAACTTCTGTTTTTATTTTTGTTTCACTGTAAATGTCAATAATTAAATAAGAGAATAACACACAAACACTAACAAGAACATTTACAGAGGATCACAATACTAACACAAAAAGATGTATATAATTAGTAATTAATTATAAAAAGAAATATAACAAATGTTTCACTTTTCATTACGTTTCCATTTCTTAACATGCAAACTTACGCTATCATGACATAAGAAATATCACTTTGAAAAGAAACAAAACAACACTTACATGTAACCATTTATTCTGTTTTTCTGTTTCTATTATATCATGGAATTGGAAAGAGTCTAATATCGATTTATCTTCTCCCAGTAATCTTGCAGAACATTCATAAACAGCAGGGCAATCCCATCTACTGGCATACCATTCACTTACCTAATTTAATAAAAAAATATATTATTGTATCACAAGACAAAGTTCTGTTCTTATAAAACGTACATAAGTTAAGATTGAGAATTTATATTTCAAAATGCAATTTAAAATAATAATTGAATTTAAGAAGTAACTTATAGAAATGAAACCGTACCACTATAGGTGGTTGCAAGCTGTCCAGCAGATGCGACGACAATCCTTCAGCTATTAAGTCCACTGTTTGTTCTTTCGTACAATGATCATAGGATGTCACAAAGCAATGTTGCTTTTTTTCAAAAACAGGATCATCTGGCAAATCTGGCACACCAACTGGTGGACACTCGACTTTCCAACAATTCCCACCATCACTCAAAATTTTCCAATGCTTATTACCATATTGGCCAGAATGATTTTTCAATAAATTCCTTTCAAATGATTTCTTTGCGCAAATGGCATAATACACATACCAGGGTATATCTTTACCCAGTGGTAATGGTCCGTTCACTATAGCTTCTGCTTTTTTGCGCCATATGTAAGTTTGAATCAATACGTTCCATCGTTTGCAGACTAGTTTGCAATTTAAAAGACTGTCTGGATCTACGTAAAATAGTATTTCTGAAAGTAATTCCTCTGGAATGTACATTTGCCCCATAATCAAACCATTATCTCCATTCTCATCGAATGGAACACGAGGTTCCATGTTCCAATTGTTAAATTGTCTTATGATGTTCCAGCTGAAAAATTACATACTGATGTAACATGACATTAATGCTAAATGCTTGATTAATGTATGCAGACAATTGGTGGAAGTATTTGTAAGAACTCATAAAATTAAAATAGTTGCACACAAGTCAAGTTGAAAATATGTCACAAACATTAGAAATGTAAGGAACCGATCTGTCAAACGTTCAACAACTAATTAAATCTTTTTGTTTAAATTAAATTAGTGCTTAATCTCTTACTATATGAAGGACTCACTGATGAAGTTGAAAGATGTTAGTACCGATGTCGTTTAGCCAGGAAATCATTAGAAAATTGTAATAAATTGGGTTTATTTTATATCATAACCTCAACTTTCACGTGAAGGACAATGATATGTGGCTTGTTTACTTCGATGTCCTGTGCTAGTCTATTAATTTTTATGACAAGCGAGTCTGTACGTGAAGTACAGTACACATGAAGGCTTTATATTTTATGACTCATCAACCACGACAGCATGTGACTTCATTAATGGAAAAAAAATCAACCTGAATCAACTCATGTTAGTGGTGCACTCTGTCAGTCATTTGCTCTTAGAATAAATCAAAAGAAAAGATTTTTAATATTAGTTTTGTTTATTAAAGGATCATATAACTAAACATTTTTATTATATACACAAATCATAAAATGACTGATAAGAGTAATACTACACAAAGAATTCAGAAGTCTCCATAGAAGTCCAGAAGGAGACGGATGTCGATGCTCGATAAATAGTATGTTAGCCAAGGGATGGCGGCGCTGTAATCATCTCTCCATCTCTCTTAATGTTATGACGATATATAGCGAATTTCATTCTTTCATCTTGCACACATACTCGCCTATCTATATGCGACTCTTCCTCCCGTATGTGAGATATCGTTGGCTACACGTGCGATCTCTCTTTTATCCCCACTTCTGGTTTGTTAGCCAATTTTTAGAGTACCAAGCGATAACATAGGATCTGGGCTTCTATGGGACTTCTGAATTCTTTGACTGTATTCAACTTTTGCAAATTGACTTCAACCTGTTGCAGATATAATACATTTTACAAAAATTAACGACAAAGAATGAAATTATACATTTAAGCTGGTAATAGAATAATAAGTGAAGTAACTCTTATTGTAATTAACACATGTAAATGAAATAATGGTTATGGTGGGTAATTAAAGATCACTACACAGCCACATTGGAAATGCATTTTTATTTTCTTTAGCACATAAGAGTTGTTATAACATCGTTCCTTAAAGGAAATAGGTACGTGGTTTTCGAACACTGAATAACGGCATACGGTTGCGATGTTGGATGCGTTTAGGCAATGGGAATTTGATCTTAGAATCGTGGAATTGTTTTACTTGAGGTCTGCGGCAATTTGCAGCTTTTACGACCTCCACCTTGATTATTTGGATAGAATGAGCACGTGCTCTATGGCGTGCTCCCATATCACGATAGCATTGAGTTACTGCTCCGCTAACAGATAGATCACGGTATTCTCTGTACATGTTATGTGTACCAGATCTGGAATCATACCTCAGCCAGATTCCAAAATTCTTAATCTTTATGGGTGTCTTTTCTGGAATCTAAAACAGATATTTGAATTTTTTCTTATTAATTATTGTTACATCAAGATATTTTTCAGGTTAAACATACGAATATTACTATACCTGTTTCAATGAAACAATTTCTCCAGTTGATTTCTTAAACTTTTTCAGTTGGCGCAAGAAATACCAAAATCGTGATTTTGCTACGATTGCATCAGGTGCAAATATCCTCATTTTGTATAAAGGAGTTGTCTTTTCCTTTTCAGTGGGCAATTTACGCCCAATCACCTCATATTCCTTCAACTGTAAGACAGAAATACAATTGTTAATATTTTAGGCAGTGGCTATTATTGATGATCAACAAAGCATTAATTCCTGATAAATAAATAATGTACAAATAGTTCTCTGTAAAAAAAAAAGTTTAAAATCTCTTTATAATTGTATGAACTAGAGATGTACTATTAGTGTTAACGAGAATCAATAAAACCGGACTAGTTGATCATGGACCACATTGGCAACAAACCAAGAATCATACAAATATCTATTTGTGTTAATTTGTTCATCTGTAAGGTTCAAAGTTTAAGCAAATTTATGATTCCTTGATTTTCTTTAATATTTCTGCTTCAATACAATCGGTTAGGTATGTTTTATCTTCCAACGTTAATACCGGAAAGTTCACTTGTAGGTTATGAAGTTCCATGTGCTGTGCACACTGACATTACGAGTACGCAAATCTCTCCGTAACCAAATATATGGTGCAAATTGATTCATTTTTATAAATGGAGATTATATGAATACATTTACTGTACTCATACAATGCAAACTTTCGTGAAAAGTCAAGAAAATTCACTCACTTCCCCCTTCGCCTTCATGATTTCGTGCGTGCAACGCTATATGGAACCGGAAAAAGATCTTAATTCCGCTACGTTATTTTCACGATTCTCCCGGTTCAGTTTGATCGCCATCTAGTGGAGAAAGTATGTATCGTGAGGTGTGTTCACATTGTCACCTTTAATATAGTTCGTAAATGCACAGCTAGTGAACACTAGTTTTGATTGCCTAATCGAAAATAGCGGTGTATTCTGGAGTATCATGGGCGATTATTACGTATTTTTGACGAGCGTGCTCACTTCTCGCACTTCCATCTCACGTGGGTTTATTCGCCGAATTACGTATTCGCTATATGAAAGAACAAGATCACTAGCACTTTCGGTCTAGTAATATTGCAAATAAAGGAACATACTTTGTAAATCGAAAATTGTTGAGAGGTGTGAGTTATAGGCAGGGAAGGCGGGAAGATGGAAAACCGTTTAAAGTAAAGAAGATGACTCGAGTCTATTCATATTTTTTAAATATGTATTACATTCGTATTTACGTGTACTATAATTAGAAGTTCAACAATATAATTTTTTTATCATGTCATGTAAGCATGAATTATTTAACAGTTTTCAATGTTTAATAATGTAATATAACCTCGCAATAACAAAAACTAACCTGTAAATACTAGTAAATTCTCATTCTTCTCACGAAAATGGGTCTGAGGCATCACGTAATTCCTTTCTTCTTCTAATAAGGTTATTATTACATCGTCAAATACGATTGTTGCCAAAAATCAAAACACCCAGGTTTTCCATTTTGAATTTTGGTATTACAATCCGTGGATGATGGCGTTCACGACGCTTTTTTTCTGTCTTTTCTTGTATGTATGTATCCATTAGGTTATAACGTTTGTAGTGCACACGTGACACGTAACATTTTTAAGGACTAATTGATTTGACGTTTGTGATTAAAATTCTTTCGACTTAACCCTGTTTAATATCAAATTTCTACTTGCATTTATTTTCTATTTAGAAATAGAAGGATGTAATATATTTTGCGCTTGCGTAGAAAAGTAGAGACGTTTTATATGGTGTAATATACACGTAGAAAAGTACGTATTTTACATAACGTATTATACGTACTCATTGTTACACCTGGACGGAGCCAACTTGGGAAGTTGTTCGCCGACATCCTGAGGATGTAGAATAATGTTTTGAAGTTGTATTTTATAACATATTTTTGACGTAGATTGCATCTGATTACATGTATTATAAATTTTATTTTTAAATATGTCATAAAAGTTGTACACTGTGTTTAAATGAAACTTCTAACAAAAATTTTATGAAACTACAATATTTCTTTTTAACAGGGTAGTTGCGAAACTTGCATGGATACTTTCTGTCATCTTCTGGTTTTAATTGTTCTTTTTATGTTTTCTTCAAGGAAAACAAATAACATTTATGCATAAGACAAGGGTAGTAAATCAAACACATGCACGATCATGAATACATAGTTATTATGCCTTCTATAGTATTATAATTTATTTTATATAAACATTTGATACAGTTTAGCAATAAATTTAATTATAAGTAGATTCTATAGAATAGAATATCTTGGAGATATGTGGATCGAACGACCAAAATGTAATATATTCGGTTTGGCATGATATGATACAATTATATCGATAATTCATCGTCGAAGGACTCGGTCGAGCTTCGTGCCATGTACAACATTAACGCATGGTATCAAGTAAACGTATTCTTGTAATACATCAAGGAATATTTAGTATTCCATTGGGAAATGTTGGAATGGTAGCAACGATACCACTGTTGTAAAAACACACAAACAATGGACATCTTAGAATAAAAGATCTTGAGGATGTTCAACGGACCCATCATTAGTAACGCAACAAAGTAAAAATGTATCAAAACAATAAACTGAAATTATCTGGGAACAATCTTCCTCATAATGAAAAGATACCTTACCAAATGAGCCAAATAATTCCACTGTTCAGAATTGTGTTATAATTTTCGTTAATGTTAATAGATTACTAAAAATCAATGGATATTGAAAATATAGCATAGCCTTGAAGAGGTTATTAATTCTTTGGAGGTGCACTAATACACCTGATGGATCTCTTAAACATCCCGTTACAGTTATGACACGTTCCAAACACAAAAAGTAGTATTTTAGGTGCTTCGGAAGAATTCGGATTAAAGAATTTTAACGAACGAATAGGACTGAAAAATAAGAAGGGAAGATTGAAAAGTTTGTTTAATTAGTCTCGGCCGAGGTACTCCGCAAAAAGGCCGTCTGTTTTAATGATATGGTTGCTTCGAGCGGAAATTGGCGGAAAACGGTATACATGCTTTGAGCTAGGTCGATTATTTTGAAAAACAAACGGTATCGTATAACTTTAATTAGGTACTCCTTATCGAATATCTTATGGTAAATATACAGTGAATATACATGTATGCTTGGGCTGTGAAAACTTCCTCGTTGTGCGCCATCGACCAAACTTTGAGTCAATTTTGTTCAACTCGTCGATTTAAACATCCTTATCACCGGTTCAAAAGAATGCCGATTGTCGCAAATTCTTTAATGATACAATTTTAGCTAAAAGAAAATTGATAAATAATGGTTAATAAGAAGTAGGGTTAGCAATTCACGTTTTCTCTCAAATTAAATCCGGACAAATGTGTACTGTATTTCGAAGAGCACTATCTCTACGTGAGAGTTAGGACAATGGTATTCAACATTTGGAATAAAACAGTAAGATGAGAAAAGAAATAGGTACACCTGTTAATAAATATACCATTGTGTATTTGTACATGAACGAATATTAGTATACAAAAGATTTCGAAATTTAGTATACATGTTCACTAACATTCCGAACAGAATTGTATACGAAATTTCGAGATATTGTATCTTGAAAAAACTTCGACTATGTATATACTATATTACGAATAGATATTTTTAACAGTGCAATGTTTGGAGAGAATAAATTGTTATGGCAACTAGCTTTACAAGAAGCGTTTTTTATGCTTTTAAACATTAAAATGATCGTGATGAAAGTATCGCATTTGCGATGTTTGTATTGTTTGTTTTTATCAGAAAAATTTGATGGGCATCCTCGAAGGACTTTTTGATAGTCGGTGCTTAACACGTCGTTAATTATTTTCGATCGAAGGTACATTTTTCAATATAGTTTAAAAAGTGCTGAATTTTTCTAAGTTAATTGGACAACCGACATTTTGTCGTAGTTTCTGATTGGAGCACTATTGTTTGTAGGTTGGAACAAATTTCTTGTTCTCAGAGCTCTCTTGACAACGAAAACAGAACCCGTCACAGTCCAAGCAAAGTACCGCTAATTCGCATCGTACGTGGACTAGACTCGATTACTTATCATTAATATTAATTTCCTAATGCGACATTGCGAGGGTACCGAAAATTATTCGAAAGATACACCAGCAAGACACAACACAAGTATGTCGTGCTCAGTTGCAAAGTCAACCTTTACGAAGATAATTTTCCTAAGATTTTGAAATAATTACTCGACGATGCGTCTCGACCGAGTCTCTCAATTTCGGATGAACGTATAAATGGTTGATCTTTCCCATTCCATGGTTGAAAAAATAAATATTCCGAAGAAAAAGAAGAAGAGATGGGATACTTAATGGAAACTCGATGCAAATTCGGCGCTTATAATTAGCCGCTAACCGTTTCTTCTCCTTTTGTACTATTTAACGTATCTATTATAGGCAATATGATAAACCAGGAATTTTTAATTATCCCAATAAACAAGAAGTAGTGGAATACCTATTTAGAATCATGGTAAAATTGTTGATTGTTATTCGTATAAAGAGTATCACAAGAAAACGTGTTTCGTACGTTACAATGTCCACTCTTTCTATATTAAATTCAACGTTGAGGTTTGCGTCTATTTAACGTTTATTAATGAATTACAAGTAAGGACGAATTCAACGCGTTTACTGAATACGTGGAATTAAGTAAATTCGCACATGTCATACAAATGTAACAGCTCGAACGTAAAAAATTGTCCATAATCGTTCATTTCAATGAACGTAAAAATATTACGTTAAATACATGCTTTTTCTCGGCTAGGGACAAACGCATAAACAAATCTAACACGCAATATCAATGTTTTATATACACATACATTTAATGTCGAGAAAAACTCTATAAACTTTTATTTTTTGGAACTACGCTATATTTCCACTACGTTTGGATATGTATATAAAACGTGCATTCCACTATTTCGTGTTTACTGGAATTCTACTGCCCGGGAATTATTCACAGTGTCCATATTTATTACTTTGCCCATAACATACCGATAATTATTAAGAGATACGTTTATCTCGAGAGCGAAACAACTCCAATTCCGGAAATGAGATGACATCGGTGCGAACAGCGTCAACAATTAAATCCCGAAGTGTCTCTTTGGCTTTGCAAGTGAGGATTCTCGTCCCAGGTTATACGGATGGCTCGTCTAGCTTCGCTAATCGCCAATTACATGTACACATAAACGGCGTATAAATTAATTAAGTACAAAAATTACAAACTCGTTAACAGAATACTGGCAAGACCGGGATCCTAGGTGAACTAGTGAGTTGAAGGGGCTAATTTCTCCGATTTTCTACGCAATAGTTTCGAGATTTTCCTGTTCTTTTTTTTTTTAAATTCATTTATTCGTCGGACGGTTGCTTATAAACAATAGTACGAATGACGTACACCGTAATCTCGATATACATATGTAATACTCACGAAAAAGGCTTGCCGAAAATACTTAGTAAAAAATCATAATCCAGTTCGAAATGTAAAGCATGAGACCGAAGTTCGACCGATCTCAAAAATGGGATTTGAAATAGCACGCTACTATACGTTGCTAGCGACAAGTCAAAAATTGTTTCGCCATAATTCTTATATCTACAACCGTGTAATTAAGCTTAGTATACAATTCTGAATAATCACGTAGAACAAATCGAGAGGGACATTTCGATTTTCGAAGCGAAATGGAGCAGCGTTTTTAATGAATGGTTTTTTTTTTATCGATAATTCTAACAAATACGTGTGCGAATGTCTCTCTGTCGGAATGATGTCGTGAAACAAGATCTGCGGTGCAATCACTAATTTAGATATCATCATTCATTTTCACTAAATGGGGATTTGATTAAGTTATAGTTTTGTATTATTCTCGTGCCACCCGAGTCGAAAATTTGTACCTCATATGAGCCTCATGAATTTGACGATTTGGAATATAATACGACAATTTGATATGGGAAGATGTTAAGGTACTCAGTCTCATTTGAGCCTCAATTATACGCTTATTTAGAGTTCGTTTTTTTTTTTAGAGTTGAGGTCCAAACGAGCATTAAACTGAGCCTCGATAAAATTTCAAAAACCCCAATTTTCAAATACTCTATTGAGTCTGGCTTCATTTTTGAAATCCTCCCTATCACTTCTGACCCTAGGAATAGAGTTTTATATACATTATTGACATAAATTGTAATATTAAGTTTTACATATTTAAGATTATGTTTTTTTACGAATGTAATAATGCAACGATCTCACGTGTCTAATATACTTCCTAATTAGTTTTACTCCGTCTTTCTCCGATGACTAGTGTTAGGTTATCCCGCAAGTTCGTGTCGCCTTTAATTAAAAAATGAAAATATTTTAAGAAGTAAAATTTAACAATATTACTCAATAATATATTCCGACAGTTTCTCGATTCCTTATTTGAATAAAATAATATGTTCAGATGTTAAATAATTAAACGGCACGAACTTAGGGGGCTACCTAATAATTTGAAGAATTCCAGGTCTTCATTCTATTTTCTCAAGCTTCAATTTAATTGAAACTTTTAGAGGACTTCGAGACTCTAATGAGAAACATGAGCATTACGTTTTTGGTGAACTAAATGAAACAGAAATTTCTGTCGACAAATTACACTGAGCGAAAAAATTACTTTCTAGGTGAAATGAATTACTTGCGGCCATCGAAACGTTTCTTATCGAAGAAATTTCTTTGCTCCAGTATAATTGATTTTCGATCGATGTTGCATCCCACATGATCGTAAGTTACTTTCGAGTAAACATGGTTTCGCAACAAGGATTTCATGCACAAGATTGGTCTCAAATATAGAAAATATTACCGAAAGGTGTACCACTTTTTGGATAAAGTGCTGTGTTTAATTCAAACTACTTTTCATTTGATGTAAAACAAGATTATTGGCAAGCAAATGTTTTTTGTAGTCACCACAAGAAGAAGTTCATCGTTAACTTTCCGATGTTTAAGAGAAAAATTCAAAGATACCTGTAATTCCATTAAAATCCAGTTTGTTATTAGAATATTATTAATTCCTTTAAAGTCTTTCTCTCTTTGAAGTGAATATACTCGTTTGTATGCAGAAAATGTAACGATAACGAGCCAAACGAACTTGATGAAGTTCAGCTCGAGAAAATTGAGTTTTGTTCATAATCTGTCTTAATTTTGTTCGAAAGACCCTACAATAGATTTTTTGTTCTAATCAGTAAAGTATCTACACGACCTAAGAATTTCTTTGTTTTATAGAAAGTGATTTTTTTCTCTCAGGGTAAATGCAGAACATACAACGATACGATACAATTTAGAAGGTCAATTAAGTTCGATAAATTCGACTTGGGTATTCGCGATAGTTTCATGGCTTCAAAATGAATTTGGGATAAAACTTTGCTACATTTCTGTCCTTATAAAACTTAATAGTTTTCGGTAATTTTTCAGTAAAACAGGTTATCCCAAGTTGTATGGTGACTAAGAATTAAGTGGACCTTTCTTAATTACCACAAACTCCATAGCTAGAATGCTCAATTTTGAAAAACATTGAACCTTTGATTCCTCGAAAATTTAAAAATAAAAAAAATCCCGTCGTAAAAATTCTTCCTCAATCACCGGACGTGAAGTAGCCCAGATCGTAATTAATCTAAGACCACTGGTATACAAATTAGTCACCCGCGGGAAAATACATAATTCCCCTAGGTAGTTTTTAACTTATTTCCCATTGATTTAGTATCAGACAGAGAAACACATTGCACCAGAAGATAATGACCCAACCCTTTGACGTAATCAGCTAAAAGGAATCGCATTAAAAACCGCATATCGAAATTACACAGATCGCCATCTTTTTTGTGCATTGTCCGTACTTCGCGACGACTCTTTATTGCTCCCGCGCTAATAAATATTACAACCAAGTTACGTCTCTGACGGTTTTTGTGTTTAAATTACCTAACACATATCACAGAATACGTATTTTTCTTCTCTTTCGAAAAATGATATAAGCGGTTAATGATATGATACAGAATGGGTCGCACGATTAAAAGTCTAATTGCATTAGAAGATACGTTTAATCCCTTACAGCAACGAACCCGAATGTTGCGTTTGTTCGTTCGAGAGTCTTCGGGTTCGCGAGAACTGCTTTGTGCTTCTTTTCTACTTGGTACGTAAGTTTAATTAATCGTGGCGAAAAGGCAAGGTCATCTTGCATCCATTTTACAGCCACTTTCGTATCGCTATCGATACAATCGATATTGATTCCGCCTTGATAGCGAACGTTTCCTCGAGCGACGTCAAAAATACTCTAACCCGCGGATTCTTTAACTAGCGATCCTCTCGCGACTATTCTATTCATAGCAATAAATTAATGTAACTGGTGTGTCGTAGTGTTGATTAGAATAAGGCATAGTGAGTATATTACAGTACTGAATAGATATCCTTATAGCAATTAAACCGTTGTTATCTGTATGGTACAATCGTACGGTCGGTGCTTAATCGGCTTGCCATGGAAACCATTGCTTCTTCACCTAAAAGAAAAGAAGAAGATTAAGATCAACTGATTTAACATATTCTGTTTTATATTTCAGTGCTATATAAAAAACAGATTTTGAGAAAGAGTTGTAATTCCCACGCTAGTTGTTTAAGAAGAATGTTTTAATATTATTAACGACAACTGTATTAAAACATTTATCGTGAATCTATACTAATTCACTTTTAAGACGTCAGATTAATAATTTTACCACAACCTTATGTACTGAAAGTGTAAGAATTTAATGAATACTTGTAATATTCCAACGTTTATGGTAGTTCATGCATGCCCGTAGAAATTATTCTGACTATGTAAGAAATAGTAATACAAATTTTACGTGCATGTTACGTATATGTTACATTACATGTTACAGAGATATATGTAACGGCTATACCCCACCAAGCACACTACGTTACAGTTACATAACACTGGAATAATATGATATATAACGAATGTTATTCAAAAGATACATTAATATCATATAACGTTGAATTATTACCGTACGATAATATTAACATAACGACGTATTACACATATATTATGTATACGTTACATCGTTTGTTTTCTAACAGTGTTATATAGCTGAATAGGAAATGGTAATACAAATCTTACTGATATATTATATGTATGTTACGTAACCGTGTTTGGTGGGATTGTTATGCAATTGTGTTTGGTGGGTTACGGTTTATTGGGCGGTCGTTAAATTCGTAGTTGAGAAGTCCGGTCTTACCTCCACCAGCAAGATGGAGCGACGTCGAAGTGCTGGGTGGACTATTGGTTGAGCAAGGTATTGGTCACCTCAGAGATGGACAGCAAAGGACTCCCGGCGTCCGGTTTGGTATCTGTGGGGCAGCTGACCCCATTGGGGTTCCCGATGACCCCACGTGGGGGTGCGGAGGATGGTACAAGACGCTGCTGCTGTTGTCCGATCCCATGGGCATGCCCATGCCCAAGCCCATGCCTATTCCCACCCCCGACGGTGTTGATCCCACAGTTCCCGGTGTTGACGGTGATGTGCTGCAACCAAAAGGACCACTTCGCGTTACAGTACATCGACTTCCCTCTCTAGCTAACAGTGCCCTCGCGATGATTAACGCCTATCGAAGGGGTTTTTCGAGAGCGACAGCTTTTTCCAGATACTTTTCAAAATTCAACAAGGAATCCTTCTACGAAGCGAGTGGGCTTGTATAACAATAATCTTCAGGGACCCGATTTTCCAGTTTATACGAACAACTTTTGCACGCGAAAGTGACAGTTTTGTATACGACTTTCAAACGTTGATCAATGACACGACTTCGCAACAATGCAACATTTTTCATGTACGTCTATTCGTACGCGACAAAAAATCCGTACGAACTCGAGAATCGGGTCCCAGTGCTGAAGGTAGAGACGAATTGTCTAAAAGTAACTACACACGTATCGTAAAATCATTGCAGTAAATCTTTGCAAGCCGACCTGTACGGATTTAACAAACGCGGGGGGTTACAGAAGAACTCCATTTAACTGTGCAGAATACGAATCGTTACGATTTATTGTTACGTGTGTAGACATTTTGGAACGTTTTCACGGCTCTTGACAGTTCCTCGCTGGCCTATTTTGAAACTTCACGATACAACGTAATCGGTTGCGCTTGAATGTATCGTTGGGGTGGTACGTGTGCAACGGTGCGGCGATGGAACAATTTCTGAGAAACTGACTACTGTTAGCTAGATAACATTCATTTGTTTCTTAGACTTGTGCAGCATTTTCTAAAAAGCTATACAATTCGTGCCGTAGTTCCGAAACGAGACAAACCTCTTTTCCCAGCTCCCAGAAATTGTTCTCGCCTTTACGATCGATCAGCAACCGGTAAAACGATAAACTTGTGAGGTAGCGGTGACACTCACTGGGGCGTGTGCCTTGGTGGTGCGGGGTGGTGATGGTGGTAGGGATAGTACTGGTAGTGATGGTGGTGTTGCACTCCTTGCCATACCTCGGAGCCCGAATCACTATGGCCATGTCCAGGATGAGGATGAGGATACCCGCCGGTCGCGCCGTAGTGGGCGGTAGTGGCAGGGTACTGCTGATGGTGTTGTTGCTGCTGCTGGGCCTTGCTCCTGGGCGGACTAGGCACCTGGGTGGTCTGGCCAGTGGGCGAGGTCTGTTTCCATTTGCAGTCCCCGTTGATGGAGTTCATTTCGGCAAGGGATTTCAAGGGATCGCCGGTAGCGCTTTGAGTATTGGTCGAGTGGGAGGAATGCGTAGAGTGCGGTGTCGGCGGACTGTAACTACCGTTGTTCCTGGGAGGAGTTCTGGAGGGAGGAGCACCCCACATGAGCACCGTCTGCCTGGGGGCCTCGTTACCGTAAACTTCGGGCTTGACGTCTTCCATCTTTGGGGTAAGGACGCCGTTGGCGGCGGTCACCGGGGAACTTCCTGCCGAGTTGCTGGAGGACGCACCCTCCAACGAGTGCCTACTACCGGCCCGGACTACGTTGATGTCAGCGGCGTGAAGCGGAGCCGCGGCCACGGGACTGGGGGCATAAGGGGAACCAACGCTTCCGGGATGCCTGGTGTCCACGTATCCATACTTGGGCGACTCGGCCAGTTGTTGGCAGTAGAGCTTCTCCTCTGCCTTGTTGGCCAGCTGGTGGGTATCATAGGTCGGTAACGACACGTCGATGAAGCCGTTGTAAGGTGTAGTCGTGTGGTACTCGGGGTAGTAGGACCCCAGAGGTCGGTACTGGAAGAGGTTCTCGGTGGCGGTGAGGTATCTGTTGTCCAGAGCTGAAGCTGGGTACAGGGTTTGGTGATAGTTCCCGGTATGACCGATGTAAGTGGTCAGGGAAGGATCCGTTGTCGCTGCCACCGCTGTCGGAGCGTACGGGGTGGGATACATGGTGTTTAGGTTACTGTAGGCTGCCGCAACCGCCGCGGCAGCGCTGGTGTCGGCGGCCAAGTAATCCACCGTGGCCACCGTTGGTGTCGCCGGAGGGGACACCACCGATTGGCTGGGCAGTTTCGTTCGCTTCGTTCGGCACGTGGACAGGAAATCTCGTAGCTGAGTCTTGTATCGCCGGTTTGCTCTTTGGGGAGTTGGTTGCGCCGGTAGCGTTGGTGCCATCGTGGACCCCGTTAAACTCTCGCTGTCCGAGAAGTAGCTGTTGGTCAAGCCGGCATCCAGGTAGCTCACTTTGAAGTCCATCGTGCGTTTGCCCAGCAGATCTCTTCCCTCTTCCTCCCTGGAAGAATATTAAAAAGTAGGTTTAGATCTAAAATCTCCATATACTCTCTATAGTAGATACATGCGGAACAGAAGTCTTATATTTTTTACGCATTCCTTTCAGGGTTGCAGGACATTTTGTTCAATCTGACACGCCAGGTGAGTCTTCGCGGATAATGCTAGGTGAGCGTTTTATGTCTATATCGCGCCTATAAGGTTTTGCACTTATACGCGCTTATATAAAATTCTATTGAGTTTCTTGGTTGGACATGTGGGGTGACTAGAGACTCACATGAGAGGTCGGTGGGTGCTGATTACAAAGTCCGGCTTGGAATTCTTGTAAACGAGTCTCGAACTTGTTTGCAACCATTGCCATCCTCCGTCTTTTGTTTGGTACCTGTAAGCGATCATGCCCGAGGCTCCTGTCTTTAGTACTGAAATTAGAAAAGGTAGTCGATTCGTTAGAAGAGAGTAGAATAAATAGAATCATTAAATAGTGATAGCTAATGAGACCTGTTGGGAGCATCACATATTAATGCTTACATTCTTGGTGGGCACTGGCTACGTAAGCCAGATCGTCGAAGTGTACGAGGTCGTAACCACCAAGATTGGCCAGTTCCGCATCCGAATAACCCAGGAGCATCTTTCCTCGCTGGTCCATCGATACCAGGGACAAATCCAGCTTATGTTTGCTCTTGAACATGACTTCCTTTTGCGGGACTTCTAGCAACGACGGCGGCCCGAATGGCGTGCAGAGTGCAAACAAGGCCAATGGCGGCTCCTCCGTTTTACGGTTCTGGCCATGGAGAACTTTAACCCTTCCTCGAATGTCCAATCTCTGAAAGAAGAGAGAAAACATCTTTAATATATACCCTACAATCTGCGCCATATAGATCTCTACGTGGCCGTTCTAAAGCTTACAATTTGGGAAAATTGTGATGATTTCATTGGTCTTTTATGTAATTACGAATTAATGATATTAAAATCTGAAAATTACGTGCACTATTTATAACGCCGTACAAGGTATTTGGTTTCGCAAATGAGTACTTCGGATTCGTTTCTTGAGTATATTAGATTCTTGTGTCCGTTAGGCACTGATTCGAAGCAATTACAATACAGCGACCACCGTACTAATTGTAAGTGGACGCCATTTAGCGCGAGTTCGGTTGGCTCACTTTCCTGCGTTCTCCACGCTCCCGACGCAAAGTGCCGGCATACAAAACAGTAATTAATAATTTCACTGTCATAAAGTAGAGAGAGATGCTCCGCGCCTTGCTTCCTCCGAGGTAATTGCTTTTTTCTCCTCATTTCTGCATATCTCAGGCATTGAGATCGCCGCCTTGCCGTGGCACGGTACCAAAATGGCGGCGGTCTCATAAGGCAAAGCCAGGGCGCGATAAAGGCCTTCATAGATAACTCGTGTAATAGTAACCGCAAGCATAACGGTAAGGACTAGCGAATCAAATTGCAGAAAAAGTAATTTGGCATCCTACTTCGGCAGTTTGATTGGCCAGTTCTTGCTATAATACTCATGGTTACTGTTATGCAAGTTATCCGTGAATGTCTTAACAGCGAAGTGATTTTGTTACAACTCCATTCCCGCAGTTCTTGATAATTGACAAGTTCTTTTCGAACGCTATGTGCAATAATATTTTGTATCACAGGACTCCGTGTTTCTTTGAGGTACCGAGTACTCAATAAACCTAAAACGGTGGAATACACGTTCAGAAATGGCGTAAAACCGTTTAGAGTAATCGTATAAAGTGTATCGCAAAAAACGTGTTTTACCCGTCTTAATGTTTATGTTATTCCCAACAAATTCAATGTTGATATAACATCTATTCTACATTTATTAAACTGTTGTTTCAGTCGTTTAACATGGACGTTGCTTATAGTCCGTACGTAAAATAATCGTTCATAACCGTTCACTATGAATTCAAATAATGTTAAATCGTTACGTTAAAATACATGTTTCTTCTTGACTACAGATAAACGCGTTTAAAAATTAATACATGAAATCAACATTTCTTATAAATGTATATTTAAGGTAGAGAAAAAACTGTGTAGAGATAAACGTTTAATTTTCACTAGTACCACTCTATTTTCACTAGTTTTACGTGTATTATTCGTGAATTGCACTATTTTGTGTTTATTGGGTACCCAATGAGTTATCAAAATAGAACTTAGTAATCTGCGCACTTTATAGTGATGTGTATAACGTAACGTCGTCTTCTTAGATAAGAAGTTAATAGGTTTTATTTTTTATTAAAATGATTAGTAAACAGATATAAATGAATCGTAACAGAGTAAATTAATGCGATTTCTTGAAAACAGGGATATTTTCAGAGTGAAGAAACAATTCATGCGTAAGTCTGTTTTGTAGAAGATCCGGTGGAGAGCTCAAACAAGATGGCGGCCTCCTTGACTAAGGCCGTTCATTCATCGAACTCCCTGCGTTGCTCCGGAGTCACGCGAGTGCGACGCTCCATCCGAAGAGTTTCGTGCTGTCCGCCAGTGCGAGGCTAAAAACAGACTCACGGGAGTTTCGTGCATCCCCCGTTGCTCGTGACGTAGAGATTCCGTGCGCTTCTTCCTCGGCGTCGTTAGCATCGAGGAATATCTATCTATGATCTGTGGAGTACGCGCGAGCGGGGTGCCCTCGTCTATTCGACGAGACTTCACAACCTCAACGACCGTTGCCAAAGCCAGAATAATTGATTTGCTTTAGATATCGCTGTAAAACATGCCAAATCTTCCGACTTTACTCACAGCACGTGACTTGATTCGAAGTTGTAACATTTTTCATACATTAGGGAGATTAAGGTGATATGAAAGGATCATTCTATATATATAGATGGTCAAAATATTTATGAAACTTTTCTCCAAACTGGGTGCATCTAATCATTTGAAATTTCAGTACGTGTTTATGGGAGCCCTAAGGAAGAACGCGATGCTCGCGAAATTTGGTCAAAGAGGTCTCGTTTACAAAACTTATCTCCGAACTGGGTTTACCGAATCGTTTTATGTACCACCGGTGGTACATTCTTGTCTGTCCCATGGGACGGGATGAGCCACCGGTGGTACATACAGAAATGTCCCATCGGGCGGGATGAGCCACCGGTGGTACATGCCGGTGTCAATCTAATAAAAAGGTGATTATTGTAATTAACAAATTTATTTACATATTTATATACATAAGAGAACTATTTCTTTTTGTGAATTTCTTCAAAACATTGTATACACAAAGTCGGCTGATTGTCGCAAAGAGGGCAAAATGTAGTAACGCGTCAATATAAACGTGTCAATTGCTATAACGCGGCAATGGTTCATGTACCATCGGGGACTCCACCCGCCCGATGGGATCGAGCACAAAAACAGACCCGCCCTATGGTGCGGCTAGTGAATTCAGGCCCCGTCGCGAACGTGTTAAACCTTTGCGGACGAGAGGCGACTCTCAGTCGCCCGAAAGCCTATATAATGGAAAAGTCTCGTCCGCAAAGGGTTAAACCTTGCACTGTGAATATAAAGGCTACAGGGAAGGTCCTGACACCCATGAAATTTCAATTTTAAGATAACTTGTTTATAGCAATTTTCAAAATTTTGTATAAAAACTGAAATTGTGCGAGTTTCAGGACCTACCTTAAGGTTTCCTTATTCACGTGATAAAATTTGGAATAAATTGGTACATTTAATTCAGCGAATACTTTCACGAACGATTGATCCTTCAGATGCCACTTTCATATCCCCTTAAGTGTTGCCGGAAAAATCAGATAGGACTTAAAAAATGTAGTGGTACGTCTAAAAATAAAGATGCGACTTCGAAGTGACATTGTGTTACAATTCTATCACTTATAGGGAGTGTATCCGTCCCAAGTGATTGAAAGAAAATTGCCAACACCGCGATAGGAATCACACGGGAGAAAAGTCCAAGAGAATCCCTAGGGGTAGTTAGAACAACCTCTTGGTCCAAAGAGACCGAGTTTTTGATGACTCGTTTCTGCCGGGCCACCGAGAGCCGGCGTTTCGTAAAAGGGCGCAGGGCCGAGTGTAAATCAATTGCGAGAAGAAAACCGGGGTCGCGCGGTCGGCGAATGGGGACGGCAAAACACTAATTATCTTATGGCAAACACAGGCACACCTCGAGGAAAGATGGCGCTCGGGCCGTAACCAAACACGGTGTCGGCATCGAGGCCCGAGACACAAGCGGAGTAGTCACACTCCCGAGAGAGCACAGCGGAGATCGCAAAAACGCGGCAGCTTTGACGTTTATGAAAATGAATCTGTAATCGTAAAAGGTTTACGGCGCCGCGCGCCGCCCCTTCGACTCTCGGCGTCGTCCTTTATACCGCGAGCTGCTCCGAAACTGCAGAATAAACTGGCCGCGAATGTTTATCCGGCTTATGTTGAGAAATACGACATAACGTCGCTGACTGGTTAATACTTGCGGTGAATTTTATTCTCTCCGGCTCGGGTTGACGATCCTCAAAAGTAATGGAGTCTTTAGGGACGATCGGTATATAAATCGAATGTTCGCGTACACTGTTAAAGAAGGCATAGTAATTTTATGACATTTCATTCGAAGTTTTATTTACACATGCTGTACTTCTTTCATCACACTCGAGCTATAGATTTTATAAACGTGCGTTAAAAATTTTATTTAAATGTCACAAATAAACATCAATTTTCCTATACAATTTCACGAAACTGGAACGTAATGTTATGTAAATATACATTTATTTACAAAGTTGCAATGGATGTATACTGATTCACTTTTAAGGAATCAAGTTTTACATTTCGTTACACCTTTTGTATTAAAAGTGTATTAACTTTGTAAATATTATTAACGGTGTAGACGTCGGACAAGATTTGCTGGATTTTGTAGCTTCAACGTTTTTGGGGCGGGGGTGTTAGTTTAATATAATCTTGGTTCAGTAATATTTATGAACTATTTTGCAATTCATTTAGTTATTTAGAATTGCTTGGTTGTTGGTTTCGTCGTAAATGATGGCAATTTTTGACGGTAATGCAATATCGATTAGTATATTTCAAAAGCAGGGTTTGTGCGTCTTTTTGCGCATGCGCGGAGTACAAATATGGGAACTTTTTCGTTCCACGACGTTTTGAGACTCTTTCTTGTATTGTCTCCACTCTACGGCGTTTAATTACGTTCACTATATATGAATACCATTTTTAATTTACTATTTATTTATTCATTTCATTACTATCTATTTATTTATTTCATTATAATTTACTATTACTAGTATAATTATTTTATTGTACAGCTCAGATCTTGAGCTGTCCTCTTTATTACCCACGGGAGGACAAGTCCTTCGAAGATTTTTGTCGCCGAGCAGTGTTTTACTGATCATTCGGGCTTTGCTAGATCTGCACGTAGTAATAAAAAATTTCAGCCGTTATAATTGTTCGACGCACTCAACTAGAATAAATAAAATAACGGCGGAGATAACGAATTACTGCAACAAGAATTATCAAATAAAATAACAAACGACTGCCTTTCAGCGCCGTGGGGGTCACCGGTGATCTCAATGAATTAAATGCGTCACGAATGATTACACAAATTAGCTATTCTGTTGTAAATAATATTTCACCAAAATATGCAACGCATACTGAGAAATTCATTTTGGCCAGACGGGCAAGCTATGTAAAATTACCGTGGCATTCAACGCGTTAAAGTAGTTACCAGTTAACGTCTTCACAGGTTACATAATTAATTTAACTGTAATTCAGGATATTTCATAATAATGTCTTTTGTTTTTTCTGTCGTTTGATACATAATCTTAATAGAAAATATAAATAAAAAAAGTCCGTACTCGAAGCGAGACACGAATACGAATCTTAGTGTGCTTCTGGCATAATTTTCCCAAAATTGCTTTCGGCCATTTTTCAGTTGATATAAAGTATATAAAGTCAAAGGTAAAATGATCTCACCAAAAAGCCAGAGGTATTGTCCAGCAGGCAGCGGAAACGGACAGTGAAACTTCGCTCCAACAGATGATTATGTTGTGGCAATAGAGCATCGTGTAAAGGTAGATTTGCACTGTCGGTCGGTAAGAAAGAGTTCCATATCAATTGTCTCTGTAGCTCCTCTCGGTCTTCGCTGTGCACCAACTCGTACACGCTTTGATGGACGATGTCGGACTGAAACGGGAAGAAAACCTCATGTTGAATAAGAATTCGAATTTTTCAATAATTTACATGCCATTGTAGTCATTTGCTAGGTTATCCAGAAATTTATTGCGATTTTTGTTGTTTAAGAGCATTTGCAGGTAATACAGTGACGTCGATATAATGTCAATTTTATTCAAATATAGTATAAGTTTCATTATTATGACGTCTAGATGACAAAACTGAGGTCATTGTCACAGTCCAATATCGTCGACATATGACGTCAATATGATTAATCGATTATTTATTAACATTGTATTTTTCATGTAAATAAAAACAAGTGATTTGATTATTATAAATGATTCAAGGATGCATTGAGTGAGGAAACAGTATTTTTTAAGCTCAAGTTGAAAACAATCAGAAATATGTGACTAAAAAGAGACTTCAAACTGACATGACGTCACATTTAGAATGTTCTAACGACATAAAATATAATGTTATAACACACAAAATACCGTCAACGATAAATACAAATAATTAAAAAAATACAATTTAACATGTATAAAATGTATATTCTTGAAATTTAGATTACAAAATTAGTTATTTAAAAGTACTGTTATTAAAATGTAGAGCGAAGTTGGCGCTTTAAAATAGTAAATAACATGGATATACGGAAAAAATAACTATTTAAATCAAGTCTTAAATAGCGAAAGTCGCAATAGTTTTCTGGACGATCTAATATGTGATAATCCGTATTTTTATTTTAATCATTATATAAATTTAATGTAACTGTAATAATATGTAGATTTTTTAAAATGATAATAATGATAATATAACAATAAGATGTCCTCTACTTCATATTGTAAATTAACGACAACTCGAGTATAAGCAGAGTGGCGCAGTGGAAGCGTGCTGGGCCCATAACCCAGAGGTCCGTGGATCGAAACCACGCTCTGCTAAATAATTTTTTTTCTACTTATTTCATTTCACCAACTTTTTTTTATCTCTTTAGTTTTATCAACATCTAAAAACGCGAGTTACAAATGTTTGGCCTTAATTTTTTCAGCTTGCAATTATAAAGGAAATGAAAAGATTACTTATTTATTCTTTACTTAGCTAATGTTTTTGTGTCCGATAAATGTTCTACTAATGTTCACGTGGATTATTCCGTTGTTTCCAGATTTTGCAGCAAATATTTAATATATACAATGAATATTGATGGAACGCAGAATATCCGCTTCGTTTGTACTCATATAATTACTATAGGGGAATATTTATTCCGATGTTTAGAAAATATTCTCATATTATTACTAAAACGTTTCTTGTATATTGCAGTAAAATTATCGGGACATAGATAATTCTGAATACCGTTAATAAACGTTTGTTCTTGTTCTGTTAATGCTACAAAAACATCTTGAGACGAAACCTCTTATGCCACGATAGTAGGTAGGTACGAGGTAGAATTTTTAATTTGAAAAAATAGTTGATCCAACATGGCTGAGTCCTATTCGGAAAATTAACGATTAATGTAAACTGCCGTCATTTTCAAATTGAAAAAATGTTTCCACAGAAATAATTGCCTTTTCAGAACGAATCATTGGAGGAACGGTATTAATCTTTGAGTCAGTCAAGAAATTCATTCGTTGAAAGAAGTAAGTTTTCAAACAAGAAACTTAGAAAAAAAAATATTATCTCATTAAAAAACAAGCGTTGCTTCCCGTAACATTACCATAGTACGATATTTTTCCCACTTTCCCCCTCGAAACTAATGAACTTTTACAGGTAATTTTTTTCGATTAAACCCTTGGGTCGTAAAATATTCTAATAAACCGTTTAAGATGGGACGCCTTGTATAGAATATTGATTAAATATCCCAAGTTTCCAGAATGCATCGAAAAATTTAGAAGACGTTCACGGATAGAATGGTGCTATCTGGGTGAAGACCTGTTATAAAATGTTCTACCGAACATAGTATAATATTATTTTGCTGTTGGTTAATGAAAAATAGGAAAATGTGGAACAATGTAGTGGACTAACGTAATGCCGGATTCTGGCGGAATCTAGACATATAAGTGTCCATCCGTGCAAATAGTACCAACGGACCGAATTCTCTAGCTCCACATAATGCGACTATTCGTATGCATAATAGGCGCATCGCGAACCGCAACACAAGAGTCGTGATCCTCGTGCTCCTGATACGCGGCTCGAAAACACTCGCGTATGGAAGCCATAACCCCATCGTGATTTATTATTCATGGTCAGCCCTGTAGCGGGTGACAACCGTGGCTGGGTAATGGTCGCCGACCAATTCGATCTATCGCCGGAAGATTTATGCCGACATCCGTGCACTCTTCCACCCTTACACCTTCTTTATGTGCAAAAGGATCCGTGAAGTCCGTCATTCTCTGGGTGACACTTTATGGCCGTGTATATTCTCCCAGTCGATTCGCAACGGGAAAATAGGATTTGAAATTATTTTTCCAGTATATAAGGAGCTTCCACTTTCATATAAAAATAACCCCACACTTCGTTCCTATGTTAGTAACCGCTAAGACTATTGACTCTTCGAAAATCCAATATCTTTAAATGCTCACAAGTGGTCATCGTAACGTCGTCTGCCATATACAATATACAAGCCGAAAGAGTTTAACTCTTTCGCTGTGGAGTGAAAATGAACATTCCGTTTCTCCAGGGTGGACAAAAAAGTTTTCCGATTAACTTGATGATTTTATTATTCAGATTTTTGAGATCGCTATATTCGAGTTTAATAACAGAATTTCACCATTCAGAATGACGAATTCATTATGGTGGATAAGAAATGTCAAAATAGTTGAAATTTTAATGATTTATTGTGAGAGTACATCTTCAATTATGTCAACGAATAAATTAAAAATCTGCATATTAATTAATGCAAAGAAAGTGGACTTAAAAACACTGTAATTATGTGTATTATTCGAATATACGATGAGTGTTTACAGGGATGTTATAGAAATTTTGTTACTCTATGCTCTTGCCTCGAAACAGTGCCTCTAAGTCTAACATAGAATATCAAACGGAATAAGTAATTGTTACTCTATCGTACATGGTATCATAGGTGAAAATAATATTTTAGGGGACTCTAGAGCTGGATTTACTCCGTCTATTTATGGTCTTTAAAGTGAAAAGTCAATATTGCACTGTACATACGCCTTGCTACCAGACTGCCGTGTTGATCCATTGCTATTGAAAAGTACAAGACTTAACAATGTAGGAGACAAGTATTAATATTCAATATTATATAATACCTCTTTGCGCCTTTTGAATAACTTTCGTTACGTATTATGGTTTTCTTTTTCCAGTGGTATATATAACTAAAATATAAAATGTTTGGTAGACCCGACGTTATCAATATCTCCGGAGAATCTCGAAGGGCCAAAAAGGTTATTTCGTGGATCGGCATTCCTCGTTGCATCGAGTGGCCGAAACTCGAGAGCGACGCGATACCAAAATGGCGGCTCGGAGGACGTCGTAAAAATGAAACCGATCCTCTCTCTATTGCCAGCCATCCCACCCGCGACCCATAAAGCAAAGCCGGCCTAACGAGAAGATAATGGACGAGTCCGCGAAGAAATCCGAAATGAAAAAGTCGATGCCCCTGGTCCTTTTTTCCCTTTCTTTTTACGTTCCGTTTCGGCCTTCCCCGGGCATAAAGCATGGCGTAACGAGAAGAAAATCGACCTCGAGGACGCGCTTCGCGAGGACCGTGCGTTTGGAAGCCGCGCGTTGGCGTCCCGATGAAGTATCGTTCTTCTCGGCCGCAGAACCGATTACCACGAAAACCATGTATTAACCTTTAATTAAAATTAGAGCAAAGAAATCCTCGGCGAGCGGTTACCGTACAAGTGCACAGCGGGGATACACGGCCGGCCCGGCCGGTACGGATGAACGTCGGAGGAACGCTAGGACTCCCCGGACCCCAATGGAGATACCTCTCATTCACCGAGCCGAGAGATATCCACCCGGAGCCCCGAGTTTCTTTACGAGGGCAGACGGGTATTTATAGAGGACTCGTTATTCATTACCGGTAAAGACTTGTTCCAAAGGAGATTCGACCGAAGGGTTCGGGGACCGGCCCGAAGGCGACGGACCAAGCGAGCTCCGAACCCCGAAAACGAATTTCGCGGATTCGTCCGACATTCAAAGGCGAAAACCTCGGGTATGTTTATCCCACCTGGTCAAATGGTGCGTAAACGTGAAACGTTTTTTATGTATGTAAATGTTCCAGTTTTCTATTTGTCGTACCCAGTATCAGGTTAAGAAGGAAACGGGAACTATTTAGGAAATTTTCGGATTCGAACATGTCGGAAACAGCCCAGAATTTTCCATGGGTAAAACACTGAGCCTACTGGAATGATCGAGATTGTTAAAGTGATATGAAAATATAATTCTTTAAGGTTCGGGTTTCAAGATGGCGCCGCATGTCGATAACGATGTTTGTTATAATAGTAGGTGGCTGCGGATCGTGCCCTGGCCGCGCCGAGATTAGGAGCACCCGCGATTATCGAAGTATGGCGTAATAGTTGGACGTCACGTACGCGCACGCGTAATGATTCTCCAATCTGACCGATCGCGCGCATTAGCCGCGGTAATCACAAATTATATTTTAATTACCCAGCGATAGAGGCTCCACTTGCCCCCGAGGTCGGCTTGACGAGCATATAATTGCTCGGTATCGTGAGTCCGACGCCCGTTCTCGGTGGATACATTGTAACGACTCGGTATAGTTACCGAGCTGCCAGGAAACTCCTAACCCTAGGGAAACCTGAGTTACGCCGCCATTTGCGTTGCCGATACGGCGGACCTTGCCCCCGAACTCGTTAATAGCATATGTTAAAGTTCCACCTAACCTAACTCCTCGTCCGAATCTCGGAAAATGGCAAAATACCGTAATTCCGGCAAACTTATACGATAAACTCCCTTAACCCTTTGCCTCCTAAAAACGTTCGGCGTTTGCTCTAATTCTGCCTGCACGAATTGATGATTTTCGCCCACGTGTCTGAAGGGCTTCTTACTCAAAGGGTTAAGGGGATGTGAAAGTGGCATCTGAGGGGTCAATCGTTCGTGAAAGTATTCTCTGAATTGGGTATACCAATTTATTTCAAATTTTACCACCTGAATAAGGACATCTAAGGAACATTTTAAGGTAGGTCCTAAAATTTACAAAATTTCATTTTTTATACAAAAATTTTGAATATAGCTATAAATAAATTATCTTAAAATTGAAATTTCATGGCCGTCAGGACATTTCTTACAGCCTCTATATTCACGTTGTAAGGTTTAAAACGATTCGGTACACCCAGTTCGGAGATTAGTGTCATAAACGATACCTCTTTGACGCCGCTTTGACATCACCTTAAGGGTTCGGTAAAAGTCGGCCATTTTGAATTTTGAAGTCAAAGGCGAGAAACTCGCGTGAAAACTTTCACCAATCTTTTATTCAATTTAAGATTCCAAGCCTATTTCGAAACGACGATATCTTTGAATGGAGGTTGAGTGTTTTGAGGTGAGTTTTCATGAAAATGAATTTATGTCAAAGGTGTGAACAAGAAGAAAGAAGTGGCTCTTTTTGGGGGAATATCGAGAAGGATATGGTCCTGAATGATGTTACCGTGTTATAGTAGAAGTCCCTCTCTGTCTAAAGAGCAAGAATGGGTATCCAGGGTATAGAGCAATCACCCAGGGCACAGGTTAAATTATAAAACGCGATCTAGGGCGATTAAGAAGGCTACTATCTCAAACAAATAATGATCGCATAATAATTAATCCGCGGACAACGTAGTAGTTAATATTAACAACGATATTGTCTGAGAATATATTTTGTGTCTGAATTTTTGGCTCGAGAAGTGAGAAAAAAATGGCGTCTATAGGACAAATTTTAAAAAAATGTGGTCCTGGAAGGGATCGCCATATCGCCAGTGTTCGGGGAGCATGGAGAGGAATAAATCTGGCGAGTTATCGATGAAATGATGAAAACACGATACGGCGTAATAAAAGATCTCTACTATACGAAAAAAATAATAACCGTGATAATAATGTATTCGCGGACAATATAACAGTTAATGTCAACTACAACATTTTCCGAAAGTAGATTTTTGGAAGTTCAATCTCTGGGCGGAGAAAGGGGAAGAAACGGACCCTTTCGGGCGAACCTTAAATAAGTTTGGTCCATAGAGGGGGTCGCCATATCGTCAGTGCCCAGGGAAGGTAAACCAGAGCGAATCTGGCGCGTTATCGATGAAATTATGAATACACGATTTTCTGAGAACGCATTTTTGGAAATCCAATTTCTGGACCGAGAAAAGGGAAGAAAGGACCCTTCTTGAGCAAACCTTAAAATATCTTGGTCCCTAGAGGGGGTTGCCACGTCGTCGGTGCTCGGGGAGCGTAGACGGAAATAAATCTGGCGGGGCACCGGCGAAATGATGGAAGCACGATTCGGTGCGATCAAAGGGCCCCTACAAATTGAAACAAATCAGGCCCGCGATAATAATTAATCCGCGGACAACATTAATATCAGGCCGGGCAACATATCACCTCGCGATGCGCTACGTACGGGGCTCGGTCTCGGAAAGTTGAGCTCTCAATTACGCGGAAGAATTACGAAGCGGCGCGCTCTGGCGGGGGAACCCCGAGTCAGGGCGGAGGGGCCGGCGAGAGTGCCCCGGGGGCAGGCCGATTGTGTCTTCATTAGCGGCTATTAATTGTCAAACTGTCTCGCATAATTCAATTCGAGATCGCGCACTCGAGGCGCAAGGTCAACGAGGGCGATTTATCCCCGGCCACGGGCCGCGAGGTGCCCGCGCTCTCCAAGGAATCGGTCTCATTGGCCCCCATGGAGCCGCCATTGTCAGATGGGTCGCGAGGATGTCGGCTACTTCGTGAGAGGTGACAGAGAATATCAAGGAGTTCCTTTATTAAACGCGACATTGAGGTTACACAAATAACGGATAAAATGACTCGAATAATTTAATCGATTTGCGGATTAAACCGGGCGATCGGCGCGACATATCGTTGATGGGGTTGTTCGTTCTTTGGTTCTTCGAAAATTAACCTCGTTGCGAGATGGATCGTGAGGATGTGAAAAATGTTTGGAATTTCTCCACCCACTTCGTCGGGAACTCAAAGTTAAGGGTTAAGGGGTAGTTGCGGATCGACCGATTACGTCGCTTATCGGTCGATATCGGGTGGAGGCGGTTATCGGGACTAGGCGATACCGGGCAGACTCCTCGCTCGATCCCACCGCAGGCCGGTTATCGATCTCGCCAGCTCGCCATTTAAGGGCGAGGAGGGCAGGGTGAGGCCGGTAAAGGTTTGTTGCGATTGCTCGTTTAAATAATCCTGAAACATGCGCTGCGGGACGGAGCAGCCGAGTCATGGATGGCTTTACGATCGACTCTCGTCGTTAATTAAGAGCTTGTAATTATTTAGTGGAGACGCTAGCGCACCCCGCCGGCATCGGGCCGAACCTCCTCGCCGAATCCGTCCCTCTCTCGCCCCCTCGCGTCCACTCTCTCCCGCTCGCCTCGCTCGCCGGCGGACCGACGTGATTTACGCTGCCGCGAAGAATGCGTCCGCTCCCTTTGCTCCATTTTCTCCGCCAGCCCGCTGCAGGGTGGTTTGTCTCGGCCGAATTCGCGGAGTCCATCCGAGTGATACATCGGGACGCGATTGCACTGAAAATCTGAAAACGCTCGCTCGCTCTTAAGGGGACGCGAAAGTGGCATCCGAGGGATCAGTCGTTCATGAAACTCTTCTCCCAACTGGGTTTACCGAATCGTTTCAAACTTTCCAACGTGAATTTGGAGGCTATAACGAACGTCGTGATACTCATGAAATTTCATTTTTGATTAAAATGTTAAGAATACCTATGAACAAATTTATTACAAATTGAAATTTCCTGGGTGTAAGGATCTTCTTTAAAGCCTCCACGTTCACGTTATAGAATGTGAAACGATTCGGTAAATCCAGTTTGGAGAAAAGTTTCATAAACGAGACCTCTTTGACGCCACTTTCACAATAATTTGACGTTTGAAAGGCTACTTTCATATCACCTTGAGGTGAAATGTCCTCCTAACTAGGTGTACCCAATCGTTCGAAATTGTATTTCGTAAATAAGGAGGCCCTGAGGAAGGTCTTGACACTCATAAAATGTCACTAAAAAGAAATTTAAAAATGTTTAAAAAAAAAAAATTAAATTTAATGGGTGAAAGGACCTCCCTTAGTACCTCCACATTCACGTGGTGAAGCTTCAAAGCATTTTGTGAACCCAGTTCGGAAACTAGTATCAAAAATTATTTGATGCCTGGGAGGCTACTTTCGTATCACCTTAAATTTGCGAGTCGAGTGCAGAGTCTAAATTGAATTTATCGCAGGTGTTTTGGCGATCGGTTAGCCGAGAGGGATGGTTTGCCTCCGGAGAATCCAGCTGTTGATTTTCGCCAGGGTGGGAACGTCAGCGGTATCGCGGAGAGGTGATTGGGGCAAAAAGTAAAGCTCGGGGGATGATGCGAGCGTGCCAACCGAACAAACATGGCGTGACTACGAGGTGTTCGACGTAAACGTAAACGTAAACGCAAAAGAGCGAACGGGCGCAGAGTAAGCGAGCCACATTTAAAAGAGCGTGGAGTGGATAATGATTCGCCTTCTGTCGACCCTGCACATTGTGTAACACGAGGTGAGAACGATGGTTTATCAACACTGGACACACGGGGTGTCCATCGAGCCATCCATTGTGCCCTTCGACGATTTAATATTTAAAGTCTTAAAGCATGACTACATTTCCCGGAGAAACAAATTTGCAAGGATTCTTCGATTTTCTCGCCATTACATTCTACAGTGGTGGTGTCTATTAAAATTGCAACACCGAGAGTTAAAAGTAAGGAATCAATGATATTTATATTGGGTTGATACATAAGTAATGGCGATTTTTTTTTACACGTAACGTGTAAAACAAATGCCATTACTTATGCATCAATCCATTAGATTTAGGACCGATTGCACAAACGTGATTGCCTTAGCGTGAAAGTTCTCAACTATGATTTGTTAATCTCGGGTTAATGAAATCCGTGTTGTACCGCCAAAAATTAGACTAACGGAAGATTAAAATCCGCCATTAGGCAACTACCCAAAATTAGACGATTCATTCGAATAATTCGTTAAGTAATCCTTGATTAAGAGCGTTGCGCCAACGTGAAATTTCTTAACTAAAATTAGTTAACCTCGAATTAATGAAATCGGCGTTGCATTGACAAAAATTAAGTTAAGCGAAGATAAAAATTCGCTGTCGAATAACCACCGGAAATCGGGTGATTAAATCTAATCATGTGATAAGTGATCCCTGATTCACGATTTTAATTCGAATGTTGGGGTAATCAGCCCAAAAGACTTTAACTTAAATGTTGATGCAACCGGCTCTTAAATTTAATCGCTATAGCTGAGGTTAGTTCACGATTAAAATTTTGTTTCTTGTTAGAAATACTTGTGAAATTTGGATCATTTGTTACCTTGACGTGGCAAACCTTTTTTCTTACAAAATTTACGTAAATAAAGTGCAATACCCTGAATTCGCAAACGTCACACTTTGAACATAAAGAGACAATCATTTATAACCTTTCTCTGTACTTTCAGTTAACGTACAAACATTGCATTAAAATACTTGTCTCTCCTCGACTAGAGACAAACATATCAAAGACCTAGTTGGCAAAATCAACGTTTCCTATAAACGTATATTTAATCTAGGGAAGAAAATCCAGCGTGGAGAAACTGTTATTGTTTACTCCTACATCATACTTCCACATTAACACGGGAAAAATGTGAATTCCGCTAAGTTGTGTCCATTTTATTTCAATTCTCGGCGTTGCAGCTCTAACGGCCACCGTAGTATTTCTCTGGGCGTTGACTCACCTGATGGAACCCCAGGTAACTCTCTATGCTGTGCGTGGCGAAAAACACCTCGCCGTCGCATGTGAGTATCAGCAAGAATCCGTTCAGCGCCTGAAAGAAAAACGGGAGAAGTTGAGGAAACGGCGATAAAACTGGAAAATAGTCGCAGGTCGTAAATCGGAAATTGTAAATCGCATCGCAGGAGATCGAAGAGCTCCGGGGACGGAAGTCGGAAGGTGCGAGTCTCGTTTTCGCGGCCCCGGCCATTGGAAACGCGCCGGAAAAGTTTTCCCATTTATCCGGAGGCCCGATAGAAGCGAAATACCAAACGAGCTCGCAGAACTCGAGTGTGCATCGAGGCCCAAAATATCCGCTCTAGTTTTAACAGCCTTCGACTGCTATTGGCCAGAAAGCCGTTTAAACCTCGCGCTGTGTTTCCAAGCTAAATGCGCTGTTTTGTTGTTTTATTCCGAGCCGTGCCAGGCACGCCAAGGCGAGCTTTATATTCTTCTGAAATATGGCGAGGTCTTGGAACGCTCTATTGGTTTTATATTCCCATATTTTTTCGGAACTCCGCAGAGGGCGCGGGTGTGTCTCTTTTCGACGTTCGCCATTTCTGGGCGAGGCGCTCCGAAAGTGCGTAAGAAGGTCCTCGAAGCAGTAAATCCCAAAGGGGATTTATTTCCCGATGAAAGACTTCCTGATATGATCTGCATGATTTAGGATTTATGGAAATAGAGAGTTTTAATAATAACGACCGACTTATTTAATGTGAACATGTGGCAAAGTCTGAGGTTCCATGAAATTTCATTTAGTCAGATTTGATTGTAAACATTGTTTAGTTTTTGTATAAAAAGTTTGATTTTACCGACGCCAGAACCTTCCTTAAGGATTTCATATTCACATGATAAAGTCTCAAACAATTCGGTGCGCCCCGCTCGGAGAAAAGTTCCACAAATGATTGACTTCTCATACGCCACTTTCGTATCACCTTAATACGAATTAAGGTCTAGATAAGACCTAATTAAAAAAAATTGGAAATACCCACCATTTTTAAAATTTAAAGCCGGAATTACAGTAAAGTCACCCTTTTAAGATTATATCAAAACCCATTTAAGGTTCGCAATTTGAGCTTTCTCTGTAGGATCAAAATTTTGATTAGGGGGTTTCGAACTCCAGATTCCACGAATTCGAGCAAAAGCTTGCCATTGAATTTCCTGCCCCCGCGTTTTGCCCCACCTCGAGGGATGTTTTCTCAGCAACAGGGTGAACATCGTGGTTTCCATTGGCTGGACTGCCATGGATGCTCACCCCCTGGTGACACGGGACAGGATCAAAGGAGACGACCGCATGCGCGGATGGTGCATCGCTATTGGCCGATGCTGAGCTAACGGAAAGGGGGTGCGTCAATACGGATATGCGCAAGGGGTGAGCTTTTCGTCGCAGCCCTTCTTCTCCCTCTTCCGACTTCTATGTAACTTGATTTTATAGGTTCAGCCCCGTTTCTCATCGACATGGCCGATCACCGCGAATGGCTGTCCATATCTCACCATCGACTTTCCTCCGAGCGATCGTTAATCCAGATATCACCCACACAAGGATATCAACGGATTAATTAGAATCCCCATTTTTACCCCAATCAACCACAAGGGCTGATCCGAGAGTTCCTCGTTTCCGACATTGTTCAAATTTTGTCGATGAAAAAATCTCTTGATCGTTTATATTAGACACACCTTGCAACAGACCAATGTGATAAGAATCCCCACTAGGCATTATTACTATTCTTCTCTCTTTCGCGGGGTACTATAATTGTGCAGCAATATCTGAGAAAACATTCACGAGTTTCTCAGTTATTACAGAACGTATGTAGTCTTGAATCGATCGTTTCCAATAAACACGAAACGGTGGAATACGCGTTTAGAGGTGTTAATAAAATGGTTGATCTTTAATTGCATAAACTCGATTAGAAGAAAACGTGTTTTGCATTTTCCAGCGTTCGCCCGTTCCACGTAAAATTTTAACGTTGACTTTGCACCCATTTTTATTAATAAATTGTGAGCGAGTCCGAATTCAACGCGTTCATAAAATACGTGGAATAAATTAATTTTGCAAACGTGTTACAAATGTTACAGTCTGAACGTAAAAGGACCATTCGTCGTCGATCTCTATATTTTTAATAACGTAAAGACCCGAGGTTGAATTACATGTTTCGTATCGACTAGGAACACGCGCATTGGAAATCTAACGCACGAAAGCAATGATCCTTATAAACATATTTATGGCAGTATGTGAACATTTTCGAATACAAATATTTATTAAAACCAGAATGCTTCTACAGCTTTTTTAGAATCGGAGTTGTTCGAAATTCAGGGTACATTTGCTATTTTCCTTTCGAATGCACATCGAAACAGCATTTCGATATGCATTCGCCCTCGAAAGTGTTCGATATATCGAATGCTTTCACCCGACTGCTCTTTTAGAAGAGTCGTTCGAAATTCAGTATACACTTGTCTCGTTTTAATCTCGAATGCTGCTGTTTATCTGGTTTTAATAAACATTTGAAAGTGTTGAAACATTGGAAAGTGTTCGAAACATTTTAAACAATGAATTGGGCTTGAAAAGTGATTTAGTGGCTGAACGTGGAATATTGTCTACATTTTGTCTATTATGTTTTGTTCATTGTATTTGTCTTTGTCTAGGGATCGATAAATATCGCCTCGAAGGAAACGGCGAGGCTCACTGTCGCGATTTTTCGCGATGGCTCCACACGGTGTGGGGTTTCTTCGAGAGTCGCGTGTTCGGGCGCACTCGCGTGTTCCATTGAAGCGTGAGCACTTAATGCCCTTCCATCATCACCTTGGCACCCTCGGCCGGTCAGGTGCCATGACACTTGGCTCGAAATTTGCGCGTATTGTTAAGCGAGTGCAGGAGTGTCGCCGGTCACGACACGGATTCCGAAGATATCGGGAATCGATCGGCAACCGTTCGCCGAAGGGCGACTCGGAGGAAAACGCTTCATCTTCCTCCTCGGAAACGAAAAACCGAACGACTTACTTTCTTCGGTCTGCAGAACTGCTCACTGCATGACCTATTTTTCGGAAATTAGGGAAAAGAAGTTCACAAAGGCTTCGTAGCTCGAAACAGAAGTCAGCATTTCAAGAAAATTGCGCATGGAAAGGCAGGGCAACATTTGCCCTGTTGGCGAAGAACAACTGGTCGTTGTTCAAAATGTTTCGATATTTCGAACACTCGAAAACGAGTGTATATTAAAATCGGATGAGTTGAAATAAAAACCTAACGAATGTATTCTACATTTTAGAGAACATTTCTATGTGAGAATTCGTTCAAAATTTTAAACAAAACGATTAAATGAGAAGAGATATCCATGAATATAATTTGTATTGCCCGGGTGATGGGAATAGTCTTTTTGCTCATATGGCAAAACCGTTTCTGCAAACACATTTGCGGGCTTTGTTAAATTTTTGATTATGGTTAGGGATTATTTTGTTTCAGTGTAGTGCTCATCGCACGACCTGTTTGTCTGAAAATTGGGGAAAAGGAACTCATTGAGCTTCGTCGTTTAAAGCAACAGTCCTTGGAATATGTAGAGTTTCGAGAAATTTTAAGTTATGTTCCGAACGCTATTTTACACGAGTTGGCGGAGTGGATAAGAAGTGCACTAAAGATCGTTATCGCGGTAAAAAAAATCCTCGGAATTTCAGAGAAACTTCTTAGAAATACGGAATATTTCAAGGAGGTTTATTCCGCGTGACGTGATTGCTCCTTCGAGCACATGTACATAGATGTTTCGTGATACTTCGTAAATCGACACTATCGGCAGCAAAGTGCCTTATCGGCGAAATCGATGGTCCGGATCAGGAATCTTGGGAATGAAGTCACGTTGGCACGCGACTCTCCGTATCCGATAAAGATATCGTATAAGTGAGATCTAATTGATAAAGTGGTGTTTTGCATCCAAAAAATCATATTTTTTAAAGATCCACAATTGAATAACAAATTCAGTAGGAATTCTCCGGAATATTTTATCTCGAGTTTTGGTGCTAGAAATGATATGTACTCAATTTAATATCAATTATTGAGATCTTTTTAACCTCTTTTCAGAGATTCCGCAAGAATCTCTCAAAAAAGGTCTTTAATAATGATTCGTTCTTCGTTGCGTTAAATGCCACTCGCACACTTTTACAGATTTTTTTATAAGAAGTTATTATTAAAACCGGACAGTATCAAAGTGGTTAGTTCATACTCCACACGCGACACTCTTTATATTAAGGTTCCGTTTTAAGCGGAAACTGATTAGATGAGTGATATCCTGAAAAATGATATCTGCCAGACATCCGTCATTAAAAGAAAATGTCACGAAATATCAAGTAAAAGTTCTCGGAAATATGGAAGATTCCAAGTAATGCAACTTCCAGCGTCACGATTGCGTTTTCGTATTAACAGTCTCGAGGTAATATACATGTCTAAGTGTTTTGCGTTACTTCGTAAGTCGACCTATTCTGTAGCAGAGCACCTTATCAACGCAGTCGATGGTAAGGGAGTAAAGTAAAAGAATGTGAAAAAAGAAACGTCTTGAAAAATCACGTCTGCTAAAAATCCGTCATTCGTAAAGCTACGTGAACAAATCTTATCTAAGGATCCCCTGAAAAATCATATCTAAGGATACGTAATTTGAAATCAAATATCACGGAATATCGAGTAAAAGTTGTTGAAATATTTCAAGGAATTTTACACCTCGTGTTACGATCGCTTATTCGTGTCGACAGTTTCTCGGCAATGTACACGTGTAGGTGTTTCGTAAATCGATACTATCGGCAGTAAAGTGCCTTATCGGCGCGGCCGATTGGTCCGGATCGCATCGGGAGGCATCGGAGCGAAGTGACTCCGGCACGCGACTCTCTTCCAGACGAAGTTGCGTAATGAACGGAGACAAGTCGGTCCCTTGGTTCTGCGTGCTGCGTCAAAGGGTGCGTGACACGAGCGTCGCGACAGCTTCACCTGCAACTTTGGCGCTCATGCGTATACACCTGATAACGCCTTCAAGTAGGACGGAAAGAGACCTTTTTTATACAACAATGCTCATACGGATC